AAGCAGAGGTCTGCATCAGGCGGAGCAGGGAGTGGAATCGGGGTTTCCAGCATTGCCATGCTCTGATCACTGGGCTGTTGGCTATTCCGGGGCGGAGGTGCATCTCTGGTTCTGACCTGAAATCCTACCCTGGCCCAGGAGCCCGCGGCATCAAAACCGGCGCATTTCCACGGATGGTTTTGGTTGCCGCAAACCGGTGTTTTCCCTGGTTTGGTTGACAAACTCTGGAGCAGCTCTGGTGCAGAAGTTGTGCCGTTTCAGACTCTCTGTCCGGCTGGCGCTCCTTCCCTGGGTGTATTGCAGTAGCAGCCCAACCGCTGGTGGCGCAAGGCGCTGTACGTAGGGTCCCTGCCCCAGAGAGCTTCCAGTCTGAAGAGACAAGGGAGGGGAAATCCAGGGACTGCGGGGACTTGCCTGAGGTCACAGGCTGGGGCCATGGTGTTGCTGGGAGAAGAACCCAGGTAGCCTCACAGCCAGGCCCCTAAACCAACCTTGCTCCTGGAGCTGGGGAGAACCCAGGTGTCCTGACACGTCCCTTCCTCTGCCAACGTTCGATTCACCAAACCCACCCCCTCCGTTGCTCTCAATCCCACCTACATTAGTGGCCTCAGTTCTTCCAAACCCACCCGCCTCTAACGCTTCCTGTCGCCCTGGGCACGCCGCGTCTCTGGCACGGGGGAGATCTGCCGTGGCCGGGGATCTCTGGGCCACGCCCTCCCCCCAGATGCAGAGTCCTGTCGGCTTCATGGGGACGGTGCTGCAATACTGGGGCCTAAGGGCGGGATTCTGGTAAGGGTTAAGGGAGTTAGGCACACAATAGGAGTCTGGCACCTAACTCCCCTGGGCTTTTTGAACCCCCCCCCCCATGTGGGTGAAACTAGCCCGCTGTACCATGTTGCTTTCCACGTCCCGCAGGCACCCCCCCATCCCATTTAACTACCAACTCAGTCATACCTCCCGCCCCTCCCCTGGCAGCTGTCTCCGTCCACTCGCTGCTGCACCCCGACATACCACCTGGGCTTCTCTGAAGCCACCGGCAGCTTTGGGGGAAACCGTGTGCTCGGCTCCCGCAGCCCGGGAGTGAAATGAGCAGCGGAGGGGAGAGGAGCTCGCATCCCATCCACCCTCTCAGAATAACCAGGTTCAAACATGATGCTGAGAACGTGGCAGGGGCCAAGTCATGTGCTTGAAGCGTGTTTCTTTTCTTGCCTGCGTGGACCTGCGTCCTGCCCCTCGTGGCTGCCTGGGCCGAGACGGGGGGTTTTCCGCCCTCCAGTCTCGGCGGCAAAGGCAGAGCAAGAGCCGGTGGCTGGGAGGTGAAGCCAGAGCCCCCCCGACAAGACGTAGGGCCCAGGTTGTGAACAGGGAGGGGAACTGATCCTTGGACCCGCTGCCCGAGGCATGTGGGGTTTCTCCGTCACTTGGAAGGCTGTACCTCGAGATGGGGCTTTCGCAAAGATTGGGTGTAGCTCAACCACAAGGTGTGGGCTGGCTGCAGAAATCCTTGGGACGGGGGTGTGTGTGAAACTGAGGCAACGTACATGTCTTGCTCAAGATCCTGCAGCAAAGTGGGGTGAGAACCCAGGAGTCCTGGCTCTCCGCCCCGCTCAGTAAACGGATCACCTTCTCTTGTGCATCGGGAAAGCTTCAAATGAGGAAAGGGGTGTCAGGGAAACTCAAGTGGGCGTTTCCCCTCTGACATTCGTCCCTGACCTGGTTCTGTTTCACCCTGTCTGGGCCCCTTTCCCGTCCCAGGTCTCTGGCACTGGCCCTGATCCTGTTCAATTTGGGGTCCCTCCTAGTGTCCTGAGAGAGACTCATTTCTGTCTCTGGTTTTGTGAAGGCGACTCTGCTACCACCTGGCCCTGGACTCACTTCGGGAACCTCCCACCCCCTTCCCACACCGTGCCTCAGTTTCCCCAGCAGTAACTCACAAGGAGGAGTTGATAGATTAGTATTTGCCAAGGGCTTTGGGCTCCCTGGGCAGAGCAAAGTTTTGCTGATGAGCCCGTGCATGTGGGCCTCTGGCGCTGCCCTCTGCTGGATGGCACGAGAACTGCTCACGGGTGGACCATAGACCCCATACTACTTTGTGCTGCTGGAGAGTCCCCCATTAACGCAGTGGGGCTGGGGGCTTTCGGAGCAGGGGGGCCTGAGTTCTAGACTTGTAGCTGTCGTGAGGCCCCGATGCTGTGGGCCTCATGCACGCAGGCCCTGCACGTTCTGGGGTGAGTTCCAACGCCGCGTCTGTCAGTGGGGTGAGCGCCCCAGAGACGCTCCCGTGCCGGGCTGGGCTGGGCTGGTACCGGCTGCCCAGGGAGGAGCATTGGACCAGCCCCAAGCTCTGCCCTGGGCCAGCCCCCCGTGCCGCTGCCGTCAGGGAGCAGGGAGCCGGGTTCCGCAGAGGGAGATCCTCACGGTGAGCGGCCCTGCCGTGTCCCACGCCTCTCGGCGCCTGGGCCCAGGGAAGCCGGTGGTACCATTCCCGTGGGATCAGCGTTGGGTGCTGGGCAGACGTGGCCGGCACAGGCCTCCTGCTGACCGGAGCAGCTTTGATCACATGGGTCCAATGGCCGCAGGAGCAGCCAGAGCCTGAGAGCGAAGGGCTGAGAGTGCAGGGGCAGAGGGCTGAGGTGGAGGCAGGGAGGGGCTGGTGCCCCTCACTCCTGACCCGCAGCCCCCTGCTGTCCTAGCCCTCGGCTCCCCCCAGCTCTGCCCCTCACTCCCGACCCGCAGCCCCCTGCCAGCCCAGCCCGGGGCTCCCCCCAGCTCTGCCGGTGCCCCTCACTCCCGACCCGCAGCCCCTGCTCTCCCAACTCTGGGCCTCTCCTGAGCTCTGAGCCAGCCCTTCCTGAACACTGCAGCGGTTTTGCAATGTGGAGCGACGCCCACACAGGGCGAAGCGGATCCCCCCCCCCCCCCCCCGTGACCTCACTCAGCAAATCACAGCCCAGCCTGGGGAGTAGGGAGTTGCTGTCCCTGGCCCCACATGTGCATTGCACGCTCCTTGCACGCTGGGGCACGAGCGTTCTGGCTCTCCTCGTGCATCACACGGCCCCTCCCTTCCATCCCCCCGTGCACATCCTGCCCTGCTGGGTCTGGGGTGGGGGATAGGGTTCCAGCTGCGAAGGGCTTTGACAGCGGCCCAGGGGTTAGGGGCTGACCCTCCCTCCAGGCCAGAGTTGGGGTTGGTTCCAGGCAGGCGGGAGCTGGGGGGGGGTGTGGGGGGCATTTCCCCGCCTGTGCTCGCCCTGTGGCTGAACTGAACACGGGGCCTGCAGTTCAGCAAGGGGTGTGTGTGTGTGTTCCCGCCCCCCAGGCTCTGCTCCAGGAATCCCCCCCACCCCAGGAATCCCGCCCCCCCCCTCCGCCCCAGGTGCTGACAGGCGCATCCCTCTGGCTCTGTCCTGGTGGGGCCCGGGGCAACGGCCGACCAGCGTCACCAGAACCCCAAGGAGCACGTGGGCCGATGGCTGGGAGCCCGGGCTCCTGGCGCCTATTCTGGACGGTGACCTTGGCCCCATCCCTTAGTCCCTCAGTTGACTCTGCTGTGCAGGGTGGCGGGCGCCTTAAACGGGTGCTGGTTCCACCGGCATCCAGAGCGCCCCCTGGGGGCGAGCGCGGCCCGGGGCTCGTGGCGGGCGCTCAGCGTGGCTGGAAGGTTTGAGGCCGGGCTGGGGGCCGGTGGGCGCTTTGGAGGCTGGGGCTGTGGCCCTGGAGGAATCCGGCTGGGTTTCCGCAGGGGAACCTCCCGCCGCAGCTGAGTCAGCTTCCTCCCTCCCCGTGCCGTCCTGCGCCGGGAGATAAACCTGAGGAGCCAGCAGGTCCAGCCGGTCGAGGGCCGTGCTAATAACATACTCCCCCAGGCAGCGGGGCAGATGGGGAAACTGAGGCACGGGTGGGGGAAGGGACTCATCCAGGGTTGCACGGCGGGGCCATGGCAGAGCTGGGATCAGAATCCAGGAGTCCTGACAACCAAAGGGGGGGGAGCGGGGTGTGGGGAGTCCAGGGCTGAGGGGCTGTGGGTCAGGCGTGAGGGGCACCGGCAAAGCTGCAGGGGGGAGCCCAGAACTTGTCTCCGGGGGTGGGGGGATGGTTTTGGGGGGTGAAGCCTCAGGTTCAACCCCCTCAGACTCAGCCCCCACAGACCCCCCCCCAGCCTTATGCCATTGACTGTACCTAGGATGGTTTAAACTGGCCCCTATAGGCGCTGACTTACTCAGATCCTGGGGGTGCTCGTCCCACATTCTGGCCCACACCCAGCCCCCACTCCACCCCCGCCCCGCCTCCTGTTCCACCCCACTCCACCCCTTCCTCCAAGCCCCAGCCCTGCCCCTTCCCACCCTGCTGTGCCCCATGCCCCGCCCCCACTCCACCCCTTCCTCCAAGCCCCCGCCTCTTCCCAGCCCTGATCCTCCCAGTCTTCTCCCTCACCCCCCCCCAGCACCTCCTGCGATCCGCTGAACAGCTGATCGCGGGGGCTGTCGGTGGGTGCTCCAGCCCCGGAGCACCCCCAGAGTCAGCGCCCAAGCTGGCCCCTGAAACCCACAGCCCTGCCCTCCCCCCTGTGAGCGTCACGGAACGCAGTGAGGGGTCACCCTGGCATCTCAGCCCCCCGCCATGCTTCTCCCCAGGGGTGGCTGCATGTCCCCAGCACCGTGGGGAGGGGGGGGGGGCACGGCGCGCTCTGGAAGCAGCCTGAGGCAGGGGGCTGTTACAATCCGGCCTCGGTTCAGTGGAAGCTCCCTTTGCTCTCTGACCACTGCCCCCAACCTGCCACCCCATCCCTCTCCCCTCCCCGCTACGGAGGGGGCAGGTAGCCTCTCTCTGCGGCTCCCTGAGATCCCTGGGAATTAGGAAAGTAGGCCGGGGCAGGAGGAAAGATTCAAAGAGCCGGAGGGGGAACGTGAGCCAGCCAGCCGCGGATCCCACTTCCCCCACCAACGTCCCTCGGGAGCCCCGCCCCCCGCTCACCAGCTCCTCCCCCTCTTGTCTCCCAGCAGCCTTATGTGGCAGTGGCCCAGCAGATGGCGCCCCCGAGTCCCAGCGGCAGCAACAACGGCGGGGGCGGGGGCGGCGGGGGCGGCGGGGACCAGCTGAGCAAAACCAACCTGTACATCCGGGGCCTGCACCCGGGCACCACCGACCAGGACCTCGTCAAGCTCTGCCAGCCGTACGGCGTGGGGAGGGGCCGGGCGGGGGGGCCGGCTGCTTCCCGGGAGGGGGTCGGTCTGAACCCCTGAGGGAGGGTTCCCCCCAGGGGGCATCAGGGCGGGATACGGGGCCGACACATCCCCCTGATAGGGTGCGGAAATGGGGGACGGTGGGGGGGTCTGACGGGTAGGAGATGGGGGGTGTCCGATGTGGGGGGGGGCGCGGGAGATGGGGGAGTCCGACGGGCAGGAGATGGGGGGTGTCCGACGTGGGGGGGGCGGGAGATGGGGGTGAGCTGACATGGGGGGGCGGGAGATAGGGGGTTATCTCAAATGGGGTGGGCGGGAGATGGGGGATCTGACATGGGGGTGTCCCACGTGGGGCACATGGGGTACCCTGGACGCTCCCTTAGACCTTAGCCAGAGGCTGAGATGCGGCCGCAACCCCGGGGCTCGTCCCCCCCCCCGCCAATGCTGCTTCTTTCAGGGGCTCTGAACGGAGCCAGAGACACCCCCCCACACGTCTCCCCGACCCCCCCACCCCCAGCATTCCCAGATCACCGCAGCCACTGGTTTCCTTTGGGAACAAGAATCCATCCTGGGCTCCCCCCAGCTCTGCCGGTGCCCCTCACTCCCGACCCACAGCCCCCTGCTAGCCCAGCCCTGGGCTTCCCCCCAGCTCTGCCAAAACCCCTGGTGAGCTGGGATTGGGCCCAGCGGCGTGGGGCCATCGCCCATTTTGGGAAGGGCTTTGAGTCCAGTGCCCAGCAGGGACTGGGTCAAACTGTCCCCCGGGATCTCTGCATTGGCCGGGGGTGGGGGGACATGAGGGGCTCCGGAGGGCGTGGGGGGCCCTGCTGGGCAGCAGCCCATGGAGGGTGGATCTGGCCCTGCAGTGGCCCAGGAGCTGGCGTGGGCCGGGGGGGGCTGTCGCTGCCGTAACCTCAGCTCACCCCGGCCGGGAATGCTGGAAGGGGCCCAGAGCCCACGCCAGCCCTGGCAGGCCCGTGCAGTTCCGATCAGGAATTCGCGGGGGGGAGGGGCTCTGGGAGCTGCTCGCAGCTGCGGGGGGTGGGGGGGTAACTCCTTCAGGGATGGGTCAGGATTCGGGGGGACGGACAGGGTGTTTCACATCACACCCCGATTTCCCAGGGCCTGGCTCCTCCCGCTGTGACATGGCTTCACCCCCTTGTGGTGCGCGGGGTTGCCAGCTCCCGCACAGTTTGTGGAGGGTTAATTCAGCCTCCCTAATTGGGCCCCAATTTGCAGATGGGGAAACTGAGGCACGGGGAAGGGTAAAATGGGAGGGGGGCAGAGGCTAGTGGTTAGAGTGGAGGGGGAGGAAGGGATGGAAACCAGGACTCCTGGGTTCTCTTCCCACCTGTGCTGTTGACTCCTCCTTCCCCCCCGCCTCAGTTTCCCCACCACCCATTTCCATGGCTGGTGTCTATCCAGGGCCATGGGCCCCTGCCACATTCTCTGCCCTGCCTTTGGGCTCAGGGGGTCCCCCGGTGCTGCGCAGCGCCAGGGACTTGGTCAGTCCGGCAGCTGGTCGGATTTCCTCCCCCACCCTGCCTGTCTCAGGTCCCTCCCCGCCAGGAAATCCGGCCGGGCTGACCCGAAGGGGGGATGGGCTGTTTCCCTTCCCTGCCTTGTGGTGGTGGTGGGGGGCTCAGAAGGCATCTGCCCTTTAAAGGCCCCCCCCCATTGGCTGCGGCATCCTGGGGGAGGGGAAATCTCCTCACCCCCCAGTGCTGGAGGGGGGTTCTGGAAACTGTCCCGCTGGGGATCCCCAGCCCGTGGCACCCCTGGCTTTGCAGCTGCTCAGTGGGGCCTGTGGAGAGGGGGAGGGCTGCCCCCTGGGAATTCCTCGTTTAACCCTTTCCCAGCTGGGGGATCTTTCTTAGCTGGCACCAGTGAGAATTCACCCCAAGTTTATTGAAGCTCCCCGAGCTCTGCCCCCAATGTCCGCAGTCCCCACCCTGGCTGCAGAATTCGCCTTCACTTCCTGGCCTAAATCAGCGTGGCTGTTAAACAGCCCCCTGCCCCACCCCAGAGGCAGCCGCATCTCAGCGCCAGGCGAGGGATCCCTGTATAACCAGCCCCTGCAGAGGCAGCCACAGGCTCCGTGCCGGGTGAGGTTTGGGGGTGGCAGGCATTGTGGGATGCCCCGTTAGGGGGTCCCGCTGGCCGCTCTGCCCCATGCCCATGGTAACTCCTCTCTTTGGCATACCCCCCCCCCCCCAGATACGGCAAAATCGTTTCCACGAAAGCCATCCTGGACAAGACGACCAACAAGTGCAAAGGTGAGGCCCGGTGCCCCACAGCGGCGCCTGGGAACCCCCCTGCTGCTTTCCCCTGGAGTCTGGGCCCTGGATAAATTCCAGCAAAGGGTCCCGATGTACCCAGCCCCTGCACCTCACCCCAGACCCAGCCACATCGCAGAGCCAGGCGAGGGATCCCTGTATAACCTACCCTTGCGCCCCACCCCAGAGCCAGCTGCATCTCAGTGCTGGGCGAGGGTTCCCCATATACCTAGCGCCTGCCCCCACCCCAAAAGGGCCTCCTCTCAGCGCTGGGTGAGGGGGTTGCAGGGTGGTGGGAAGCAAAATATCCCATAAAGGCCTTTAAGACAAAAAAACTTCCTCAATATCCAACAGACACACTCTGCTCTGAGGCTGCTAGGTCCCCCTCCCTGCCCCCCCCCCCCAGATCTGGGTCCCCCCTCACAGCCCCTCCTTCTTTCGCAGGCTACGGCTTTGTCGATTTCGACAGCCCCACGGCGGCGCAGAAGGCCGTGACGGCGCTGAAGGCCAGCGGGGTGCAGGCCCAGATGGCAAAGGTAAGGGCCCCGGATGTTGGGGGGTGTGGAGGGTGTGTGTGTGGGGGTGTTCCAGCCACTGGCCTCCTCCTAAAGCACTGAAAGGGTTAATGGTTCCAGCTGTAGGAGCTCCCTTCCCGGGCCCCCACTACCTTGGGGAGTCCCCCGCCCCCCCAAGGATGTGACACTTGCTTTGCAGGCTTGTGACTCGCCCTGCAGCTGGTTGGGCACCAGCTTTGCCCAGGTGGCTTTGGGGGGGCGCCAAGCCGACTGGAGAATCGGGGCCATGGGGCTCTCTCGGCCCAGGGTTGGGGGGACGGACGGGGCCTGATCTCAGGCCAGGCCGGAGCTGCGGACGATTCTTCCCAGGCCAGATTTGGACTTTCCGTCCTGCCCCGGGACAGGGAGAAGTTCTGAAATTTGGGGTGTTGTCCCAGGACGGGGAGCCTGGCTCCCTCCAGCTCTGCCGGTGCCCCTCACTCCCGACCCACAGCCCCTGCTAGCCCAGCCCGGGGCTCCCCCCAACTCTGCCGGTGCCCCTCACTCCCGACCCACAGCCCCTGCTAGCCCAGCCCGGGGCTCCCCCAGTTCTGCTGGTGCCCCTCACTCCCGACCCGCAGCCCCTGCTAGCCCAGCCCTGGGCTCCCCCCAGCTCTGCACCTCACTCCTGACCCGTAGCCCCATGGGGCAGGGGGAGAGGAGGTAATTCCCCACACAGAAGCCAATTTCAGGGGAGGGGAGACCCTGGGGGGCCCCTTTGGGGGGTGCTGGTCAGCCCCTCACTGCTGTGTCTCCATAGCAACAGGAGCAGGACCCCACGAACCTGTACATCTCCAACCTGCCGCTCAGCGTGGACGAGCAGGAGCTGGAAGGGATGCTGAAACCCTTCGGGCAGGTGATCTCCACCCGCGTCCTGCGTGACCCCAACGGCACCAGCCGCGGTGTTGGCTTCGCCAGGTCAGAGCCCCCAGCCCGGGGCACCCCTGGGGGGGGTCATTGGCACGGGAGGAGATGGGGATGTTGGTGGGGGGAGGGATTGTGGGCGCAGGGACGTTGGCGCTGGGGGTTGTCGGTGTGGGATGGGGAGGGGGATGTTGGCACTGGGGGTGGCTGTTGGAGTGGCACGGGAAGGGGGAGGGGGGCGTTGGCGCTGGGGGTCATTGGCACGGGAGGGGGAGGGGGGCGTTGGCGCTGGGGGTCATTGGCACGGGAGGGGGAAGGGGGCGTTGGCGCTGGGGGGCGTTGGCGCTGGGGGTCGTTGGCACGGGAGGGGGAGGGGGCGTTGGCGCTGGGGGGCGTTGGCGCTGGGCTCAGGCCTTCTCTCCCCCCGCCACCAGAATGGAGTCCACAGAAAAGTGTGAAGCCATCATCACCCACTTCAACGGGAAATACATCAAGACCCCCCCGGGGATCCCAGGTGGGCGGCAGGGCCTTGCGGGGATGGGGGGCACCCAAGGGGGAACCCGGGGAGCGGGAGCCGGGCAAGGGGCTGTTATATAGTGACTCTCCTGGGGGTTGGGACCCTTCCCTTCCAGGTTTAACTCCTGCCAGGCCGAACTCAGGACAGCAGGAGGCAGCGGGTCGGGAGTGAGGGGCACCGGCAGAGCTGGGGGTGGGGAACGGGGGCTGTGCGTCGGGAGCAGGGGGGCCTGCGGGTCAGGATTGGGGGCCCCGGAAGAGCGTGGGGGGAGCCCAGGGCTCAGCTAGCAGAGGGGCTGTGGGTCGGAACTAGGGAAGGCTGCGGCTCAGGAGTGGGGGTCCCCGGCAGAGCGTGGGGGGAGCCCAGGGCTGGGCTAGCAGGGGGGCTGCGGGTCGGGATTGGGGGGCCCGGCAGAGCGTGTGGGGGTGCCCAGGGCTGGGCTAGCAGGGGGGCTGCGGGTCGGGATTGACGCCTGCCTCTGTCTCTGGGCAGCCCCCTCAGATCCGCTGCTTTGCAAGTTTGCCGATGGGGGGCAGAAGAAGCGCCAGCCCCAGGGGAAATACGTGCAGAACGGGCGGGCCTGGCCGCGGGACGGCGACTCGGTGAGACCGGCTCCCGGGGGGTGGGAATCGGCCCCTTGCCCAGCCTGGGGCCCCCTTTTCCCCCTGTTCCAGAGAGATCCCCCGCCGCTCTCTGGCCCTGGACCGAGGAGGGGCTGCAGGGACCCTTCCCTAGGGTTCAGTTGTGTGCCCCAGGGTTGCCAGGTGCCCGGGTTTCGACCAGAACGCCCGGTCGAAAAGGGACCCTGGTTAAAAGTCTGGTCGGCAGCGCAGCGGAGCTAAGCAGGCTCCCCACCTGCCCTGGCCCTGCGCAGCTCCCCGGAAGCAGCTGGCATGTCCGGCCCCCAGGCGCAGGGGCAATCAGGGAAGCTCCGTGTGCTGCCCCTGCCCCAGCGCTAGCTCCGCAGCTCCCATTGGCCGGGAACTGCGGCCAATGGGAGCTGCGGGGGCGGGGTCTGCCGTCACGGGCAGCGTGCACAGCCTGGCTGCCCCTCCGCCTAGGAGCCGGACATGCCAGCCGCTTCTGGGAGCAGCGCAGAGCCAGGGCAGCTGGGGAGACGGAGTTAAGCGCTGCCTGACTGGAGCCTGCATCCTGAACTCCCTGCTCCCATGTCGGAACCAGCACCCTAACTCCCTCCCAGAGTCCACACCCCTCCTGTACCCTAACTCCCCACCCCAGCCTGGAGCCCCCTCCTGCACCCCGGAGCCCTCACTCCCTCCTGCACCCCAACCCTCTGCCCCAGCCCAGTGGAAGTGAGTGAGGGTGGGGGAGAGCAAGCGACCGAGGGAGGGGGGCTGGAGTGAGTGGGGGATCGGGCCCCAGAAAAGGGGCGAGGCAGGGGCGGGGCCTCAGGGAAGGGGCGGGGCAGAGCAAAAGGGTGTTCGGTTTTGTGCAACTAAAAAGTTGGCAACTCTGGTGTGCCCCCAACCCATGAGCTGGCAGGAGGGGTCTCTCTACCATATTGGGGGGAGACATGGATGTGTGTGTGGGGCTGATAAGCCCCTTCTCGTCTGGGGGGGTGTGGTGGGAGGGGTCAGTCCCTGAGATGCTGTGGCAGGGCAGTGGCTGCCTTGGGGGTCGTGGAGGCAGGATGGGGGGGTTCCTGTACCCGGGGGTGGGGTGCTGCGCTTCTGGGCAGGCCTGAGCCAGGTGTTGTGTCCCTACAGAGTGGCATGACCTTGACCTACGACCCCACCACGGCTCTGCAGAACGGGTGAGTCCCTGTGTCCTTCCCCCCCTCATTCCCCCCTATGTGTGCTGGGGGGGGCCACACTCCCTTTCTGTGCATCCCACAGGGGAGTTTAACCCCGTAAGGGCCATTCTCCTGTGTGTGTTGGGGGGGGGGGTTGCCTCCTCTCCCCCCTTCTGTGCCGCCCGCCGTGGAGTTTAACCCCGTGACGCCCGGCCCCCTCTTCCCCCCGCAGGTTCTACCCGACCCCCTACAGCCTGGCGCCCAATAGGATGATTGCTCAGACCACGCTCGCCCCTTACCTCCCGTCGCCCATGTCCTCCTACCAGGTACCAGCGCGGGGGGGCGGCTGGGGGCCTGGCCAAGGGGGAAGGGGGCTGTGTCAGGGTGTGACCCCCCCAGGTGGGGGGCCGTGTCAGGGCCTGTGTGGCTGTGTTGGGGTGTGATCCCCGGCTGGGGGGCCGTGTTTGAGGCTGAGGGGGCCTGTCAGGGCGTGATCCCTCTGCTGGGGAGCCGTGTCAGCGGCTGGCAGGCCGTGTTGGAGTGAGACTCCTCGGCTGGGGGGTTGTGTCGGGGGCTGGGGGGCATGTCAGGGGCTGGCGGGCTGTGTCGGAGTGAGACCCCTCGGCTGGGGGGCTGTGTCAGGGGCTGGGGGGCTGGGTCGGGGTGAGACCCCCGGCTGGGGGGTTGTGTCTGGGGCTGGGGGGGCCTGTCAGGGGCTGGATCGGGGTGAGACCCCCAGCTGGGGGGTTGTGTCTGGAGCTGTTGGGGCATGTCGGGGTGAGACCCCCAGCTGGGGGGCCACGTTGGGAGCTGGGGGGGCATGTCAGGGGCTGGCGGGCTGTGTCGGAGTAAGACCCCTGGCTGGGGGGCCACGTCGGCGGCTGGGGGGCCGTGTCGGGGTGAGATCCCTGGCTGGGAGGTTGTGTCTGGGGCTGTTGGGGCATGTCGGGGTGAGACCCCCAGCTGGGGGGTTGTGTCGGGGGCTGGGGGGCCGTGTCGGGGTGAGACCCCTGGCTGGGGGGTTGTGTCTGGGGCTGGGAGGTTGTGTCTGGGGCTGTTGGGGCATGTCGGGGTGAGACCCCCAGCTGGGGGGTTTTGTCGGGGGCTGGGGGGCCGTGTCGGGGTGAGACCCCTGGCTGGGGGGGCCACGCCGGGGCTGGGGGGCCGTGTCGGGGTAAGACCCCCCAGCTGGGCCCCGCTGACACCCCTCTTCGCCCGCAGGTTCACAGCCCGTCCTGGATGCACCACCAGTCGTACCTCATGCAGCCCACGGTGAGGCCCGGCCCAGCCCCCCACCCCTCGGGGCGGCTCCCCTGTCTCCGGGCCCAGGGGAGGGGGGCAGCTGCAGGGCAGGGCCAATGAGGCTGCTCTGACATCACTTCCTGGTAGCCGTGGGGCCCAAATGCATCACTTCCTGTTGCTCACCGGGATTTCATTGCCAACAGGAAATGATACCGACTGACTATACGCATCACTTCCTGTCCCTTGTGTGGTCTCTGACATCATTTCCTGTACAGCCTTCCCACCAGGGAAAGGGCCTTTGTGGTGCCCGGTTCTCAGCTGGCCCCAGGCTCCGCCCCCGGCCCTGTGCTGATTGGCCGTATGGGCTCCCGTGGCCCCCAGGTGCCGCCCCCGGCCCTGTGCTGATTGGCCGTACCGGCTCCCGTGGCCCCCAGGCGCCGCCCCCGGCCCTGTGCTGATTGGCCGTACTGGCTCCCGTGGCCCCAGGCGCCGCCCCCGGCCCTGTGCTGATTGGCCGTACTGGCTCCCGTGGCCCCAGGCGCCGCCCCCGGCCCTGTGCTGATTGGCCGTACTGGCTCCCGTGGCCCCAGGTGCCGCCCCCGGCCCTGTGCTGATTGGCCGTACCGGCTCCCGTGGCCCCAGGCGCCGTCCCCGGCCCTGTGCTGATTGGCCGTATGGGCTCCCGTGGCCCCCAGGTGCCGCCCCCGGCCCTGTGCTGATTGGCCGTACCGGCTCCCGTGGCCCCCAGGCGCCGCCCCCGGCCCTGTGCTGATTGGCCGTACCGGCTCCCGTGGCCCCAGGCGCCGCCCCCGGCCCTGTGCTGATTGGCCGTACCGGCTCCCGTGGCCCCCAGGCGCCGCCCCCGGCCCTGTGCTGATTGGCCGTACCGGCTCCCGTGGCCCCAGGCGCCGCCCCCGGCCCTGTGCTGATTGGCCGTACCGCCCCGTCCCCAGCCTCCCCCGGCCCTGTGCTGATTGGCCGTACAGGCTCCCGTGGCCCCAGGCGCCGCCCCCGGCCCTGTGCTGATTGGCCGTACCGGCTCCCGTGGCCCCCAGGCGCCGCCCCCGGCCCTGTGCTGATTGGCCGTACCGGCTCCCATAGCGCTTAGCACCCCCGTTGCCAGGTCTCTCTCCTCCCAGCCCCGCCGGCCGCTCTCCAACCTCTCTCTTCTCTGCCTCAGGGGACGGTGCTGACGCCGACCATGGACCACACCATTTCCATCCAGCCCGCCTCCATGATGGGCCCCCTGACCCAGCAGCTGGGCCACCTCTCCCTCAGTAGCACTGGCACGGTAAGGCCCCCGTCCGCCGGCACCGGCGTGGGCTCCTCTGGGCACCAGCCGCCCCCTGACTTCTCCTCTCTCCCTCCCCAGTACATGCCAGCGGCAGCAGCCCTGCAAGGAGCTTACATCCCTCAGTACACGCCCGTGCCTTCCTCCAGCATCTCAGTTGAGGTAAGGGCCCTGTTCCAGGCCGGGGGCGCAGCTGGAGGGGCAAGCCCCTGCCACATCCGTCAGCTGCGGGTTCTAATCTCCCCTTCCCCCCTCCGCCACACTACGCCTCCCAACACCTCTGAAAGGCAGCCGCCTCTGGGGTGGGACGTGGCAGCCGCTGGACAGCCGACGCAGCAGTAAGGAACCCGGGTATCACGCACCCTGCGTTGAAATGCAGCCACCTCTGGGGTGGGGTATGACGGCTGTTGAGCAGCCAACACAGCAACCTTGCCCTGGCAGGCTAGGACAGGAAGTGGCGGGGACGCCTGTCTCCAGCTGGCATCAGGTCAGCACGGGGCATTGGCTTGGAGCAAAGAGGCTGGTCAGGATGGGGGTGCAGGGGCCAGACAGGGAGGCCACCCCCACCCACCCCCCTAAGCTCCCTGGGCTTGGCTGCCTTTCAGGAGAACAGCGGCCAGCAGAGCCAAGTGGCTGTCGAGTCTCCGTCAGACCACGCCGCCTACTCCTATCAGTACAGCAAGTAACAGCAGGTAAGGGCTGGGGGGGCGGTCTCAAGGGACGAGAGCCTGTCCCTCTTGGTGGCGCTGGCCCCAATCCGGCCACAGGGTAGGAGACTGGCTGGTGGGGGGGGGAATGGGACATGGGGCCTTTCCCCTGTAGGGGGCACTGGCCCCAATCTGGCCCCAGGGCAGAGGACTGGTGGACTCTGGGGGACAAGGAATGGGGCATGGGGCCTTTCTCCTGTAGGGGGCGCTAGCCGCAATCTGGCCCCAGGGCAGGGGACTGGTGGGCTCTGGGGGACAGGGAATGGGACATGGGGCCTTTCTCCTGTAGGGGGCGCTGGCCCCAATCTGGCCAGCCATTGGGGTTAGGGAATGGGACATGGGGCCTTTCCCCTGCAGGGGGCACCAGCCCCAATCTGGCCCCAGGGGGGCAGGCTGGCTGGCCATTGGGGTCAGGGAATGGGGCACGGGGCCTTTCCCCTGTAGGGGGTGCCAGGTCTGATCCAGCCCCAGGGTGGACACTGGCTGGCTCAGGGGGATGGGACATGGGGCCTATCCCCTCGGCTCACTGCAACCCCCCGTATCAGTGAACCATTGTCTCCCTCTTCAGCTGGACCAGGCGTCTCTGCTCCGAGCACTCGCCCCGAGGGAGAACGCCACCTCCTCTTTGATTTGTGCTGCATCTAGAAGATCGAATCCATTTTTTTTTCTTCGTTCGTTTCTTTCTTTTGCAAAGAAAACAGTTTTGTAAAAAAAGCAAACAAAAAAACCCGGCAATAGACTCTGCTCACCAAGGAACCAAAGCGGTGGAATGGGGGGGCTGGGTCACCAGATCCACTCCATGCGGACGGACAGACGGACTGAGGCCTGTTTTAATATGAGGAAAACAAATGTGTTTGGTTTATTTTTTTGTTGTTGTTTTGGAGAAACCCCTTTTTTCTGGGTGGTTCTTTAAGGAAAGGGTTGATCCAGGTGGGTGGATCTGGCTGCCCTGGAGCGGAGAGGCTGCAGATTCAACTCTCTGGGACAATCGTCGTTTTCTTTTGTCAATTAAGGATTACTTTTTTGTTCCTTTCTTTTTCTTTTCTTTTTTTTAAAGGGAAAATATGCAACGTTTGAACAGGTTTATTTTGAGGGGGGTTTGGTTTTGGTTGTACTGCTCCCCGACGGATTCCGCCCGTTTTCCCCCCCCCAGCTCCCCTCTGGACGCTTCTCCACGCCTCAATGCCACTGTAGGATAAAGAATTTTTCCCGGGGGGGGGAAGGGGTTGCTTTAAAAGAAAAGAAAAAACACGCCGCAAAAACCTACAAAAAAAGCCCCACGTTTTATTGTATTGTTTTTTTGCTTTTTTTCTCCCGGGTTTTATAAAAAAGGAAAAAGTCTTTAAAAAAAAAAAAAAGAAAAGAAAAAAGAAACACTAAAAAAACCCAGGATCTAATGAGACAAGCCTGGCAGGAATCCGTGACTTTCCAATGGGAGGATGAGGCGGGAGATACGCTGCATCGGGCACTGGCTGGCAGGATTTTGGGCAGGGGAAAAGTTGGCCACAAACTCTGGGCCAGGACACAGCTCCAGGAAACCTCTAGGATCCTTAATCTTCTCCCTGCTTGAGCTTCGCCGGACAGGATTACTGCACGTGTTGGACTCCAGCTTGGACTGGGGGGATTCGTGGTCTCTGCTCCGGCCCCTGTCCTTTCCTCTTGGATGCTACAGACGTGGACTCGCCCTGCGCCTGGGTCAGGACTCCGGACTCGGCCCTCGCCCCCCTTCCAAAAGCCTCGTGCCGCTTTCTGCGTCACCAGTGACGTCTTGTGCTTCCGGACTCTCCGCCCCGGCGACGGAATCCACGGTCTGCCCCCCCTCCCTACGCACCGAAAGCCCGAGGGGACCCGGCACCGGCTCAGCCCCGTCCGCCCTGTGGGATACACAGTGCCTTCGCTGCCCGCGTTCCAGACCGTGCCAGCAGACCCCACTCTGCCGTCGTGGTGACCTCCCTGCCCCCCCACCACTGGGATCCATGCACGGGGGGGGGGAACAGCCGACTGGTGACACACAACCCCCCCCCCCGCCCCCGCTGCTCTTCACTGCGGTAGGAACAGCCGGTCGGCACAGGCCACAGGAGGACGATGGGGCTCCACCCCACACCCAAGCTTGTGGGGGGGGTTGGTTGGATTCTGGGTGCGGCTGGATTGCCCCCCTTCTTCCCAAAAGGGGGGGCTGGGTGGTGGCTTTTTGGGGGTTGGGGGGGCAGAGCTGATGCTGCCCTTGCTGCAGATGGGGATCTCATTTCTATGCACATCCCAGCCCCTCCTGGATTCCCCCCACCCCCACCCTACGCACGCCATAGCAGGAGGCAGGACAAGTGCAATAAACCAGAATGCCGCGCCCCCGCTCCCGCTCCCCGACCCCCAAATCTCTTTTACCTGGAGACCAAGCTCTTAAAGGTACCAGGCACTTTAAACTCATCCGCACGTTCTCAAAACAACTTCCCCCCCCCGACCCCCACCCTTTGTGAAATGCTCTGCTGTGATTCCTTCCCCCCAGATGGTGCTAAACCCTCCCCCTGCCCCACTGGATAGACCCTCCCCCAGGCTGGCACAATCCTGCCCTCCCCCCAATATCTGTTACATTGGATAGACTGTGAAACAAACAGGCCGGCCCCTTCTCTGAGGGACATACTTGGGGTCCCCGCATCCCTGCTCGTCTCCCCTTCAGAACCCCTACCCCCCCACCCCAGTCCTAACCCTCTTGGGCTGGGGGGTTGGCCCGCCCTGCCCCTTGGAGAAAATAGCTCTTATGCAGCTGACAATCAGTGATGTTTGTATCGCACGCGCGAGTGAGTGGTGTTGTAGTGAGAGAAGCAGACGAATGGGGGGGGCGCGGGGTTGGAGGGAGAAGGCAGCCCCGGCCAAGGGGTTTGTAGAGGGCGCAATGGACGATTTATGCAGATGGTGTGCGTGTGTGTGTGGGGGGGAGCGCATCTCTCCCCTCCCAGTCGATTCTGGGTGGGGCGGAGGGGTGGACACCAGTTAGGGGTTTTCACTTCCCTGTTCCAGTTGGGGTGAAGAATGGTTGGGGCCTGGCAAGTTGAATGTTAACCCCCCGCATGCACCTGAGAGCAATTTAAGCTCCTCTGCGCACACACATCCCCACCGCAAGGTTGGGGGGGCCTGGGCCAGGAGATCCGACTTTAATGGTCAATCTCCCCCAGGGTGGGATCCGTTCGTTCCTCCCTGGGGCAATGCACCCTCCCTCCAGCACCCCATCTCCTGTTCACCCCTTGGCTGCCCGCATGGCCGTCCTGACAGCAGGAAGCCAGGGGGGCATCCAGCCAGCCTGGGGTGGGGCAGGGAACAGCAGACGCTACCTCCGCCCCCCCAGCTGCAAGGTTCCTGGGGGTGGCCCAGCACTGGCCTGGCAAGCCCCAGCCCCGAAGGGTGAGGGGCCCTGCAGCTTGGCTCTCTCTTTCCTCCCTAGACACTAAGGCCCAAACGTGCCAACACAGAGGAAAGGGGGGCAGAAAGGCTGCCCCACATAATGCATGCTGAGCCCCGCTCTTGCCCACGAGCCCCTCCCATTCTAAATAAAAGCCCCGGCTTTCCGCTGGTTCCATCGGCAAGGGGGGTTGGCCTCCAAAATGCCCAAATCCACAGGCGTCCGGCGCCTCGCCTGGCCCCACCCCGTGCAAACTGCGGTGCCTTAATCTGCATTGCGGTGCCTGGTGCTGGTGCCGCTGGGCTCGAAGCCGGGACCCGGGGAGCCCCGTGGGCGCAGCAAACCCACGCTGGGACTTGGCGGCATCCGGTTCTTGGGCCTCAGGAACGGTGCAGAAATCCGACAGGCTCCGACGCACTGGGCCGATCTCGGCCCCCGGGGTGGGGAGGGGGGATGGAGCCCCAGGGGAGCCCCAAGATAGCCACAGGCTGTGGCTGCCCCCCTCCCACAATGGCTGCGTTTGAAGATTTTTGTTCTTTTTCATGAATTTTTTTGGTAAGTTTCCTTTTTTAAAAAAAAATATAGAAGACAAATTCCCTGGTCGTTTCCCAGCCCCCTGGCCGGTGCGGGGGGGTTGGGGGGGGGGTTGAGCTGTGGGTTTTGCTGTTCATGTTCTGGGCGTTAAGTTCCACCTTTGGGGGGGGGTCCTGCTGACACTAGTGCTGGGGTGGGGTTGGCGTTGCTGGCCGTGATGGTGTCTTCGGTTGAAATTGTTTGATGCAGGTTTTTTAAAAATATTTTATTGATTTGTGACGTGAATGCATGGGGGGGGGGCACTGGTGTGGCATGGGGGGGGCGGGTGATTTGAGGAAGGTTTAAGTGTGGGGTTTTTTTCTGTGGAGTTGCTTTTTTGGGGTGATTTGGTTGTGCAGCCCCTGGACACCCCCTGCCTGCCAGCTCGCAGGCCTGCGGGTTGCGTCTGAGATGGGGGGGGTCCTGTCCATGGGGGCCTGGGGGGGAAGCCCCAGAATTGCCAAGTGCCCAGAGCAGCTGGCGCCTCCAGCAGGGGCTCGTAGAAATAGGCCAATATGTTGCCCTGGTAACACCTCCCCCTACCCTCTCCAGCTAGATACCTCCCCCAAACACCTCAGCCAGTCCCCCCCAGTCAATAAACCTCCTGTCCCTGCCCCCCCTTGTGTGCACCCACCCCCTGCCAGTCCCTGACAGGCCAGACCTGGGACTTGCAGCCCTGGGCCAGCTGCGGGGGGGCCAGCGAGCCAGGTTCAGTGTTTTGTTTTGTCCCGTTAACCAAAGAGCCCCGGGCCCCCCGGTGCCGCCCCACAGCATCAGGGCAGCATCAGCACCCCCGCCCCCCCCACCCAGGCCCTCTCCAGGCAGCAGGAGATGCTAGGTGTCAACCAAAGCAGCTGAGGCCAGGCCTGGGTCAGGGAACAGGATGGACCTTGACAGGCGGGGGGGCAGTGGAGGACCCACAAAAAGTGCAGTGAAATCTAAAAGCAACCCCTCTGCCTTGAGCTGGGTCTCCTGCCCCCTCGGGCGCGGGGGGGCTGCTGGCTGGCCTGCCTGCCCCCCCACCCCCTTGCCTTGCTTTGGCCCACCCCTCTGTTCACCCACTCATTGGAGGACGTGTTGGGGGGTGTCTTGGGGCAGACCCATGTTGTATCTAGGAAGGGGGGAGGGAGCAGTGTGGGGGGGTGTCTAAGCAGCTGGAGAGTTGGGGAGCGGGGGGGGGGCCTAGTCTCAGCTCTGGCCCTGCCACACTCCAGCACTTCCAGGCCTCGGGGTGCACCAGGCTGTGGGGTCTCCCCTGGCACAGGCTGCTGGGGGGCACAGGGCCCTGCAGTCCTAGCCTAGCCATGGGCCAAGGCCGGCCCCTGCAGGCGGGTCCCACTCTGGGTGCCTGGTGCAGGCAGGAGGGGTGGCCAGTTGGCTGGTGGTCAGGCCAGGGCACTAAGAGGCCATTCGCCCCCTCCCGCCCCACTGCCGGAGCAGGGACCCGGATGGGCAGGACTCCTGCTGGATTTTGAGCCTTGTGCCTTGATGGGCCCCTGCCTGAGATCCAGCCCCTGCACTTCGGGGTGTAGTGCGGGGCGGCCAGCGTTCATCTCCCCCAGGAACAGCCTGGGCCTGACGTTGGATCCCTCTATCCCCAAGAGACACCCCCCCCGACCCCTTGCCCACACATCCGTGAGTTGTGCCAGTCCCTGAGGCCTGGCAGCTCCTAGCTTAGCAACCCCCCAGCATGGCTCCCCCTAGCCCACCCCCAGGATTCCTGGCCTCCCCCGCCAGTGAAGCTCTGGGAGCTCCTGAAGCCGGCTCCGCGGCCCACTTGCGGCTCGCTGTTACAGCCGGCGCTCCCTGCCCCTGGCTACACAGCTACCTCGCCCCGTCGCCAGCGCATCGCACCCCGACGGGCGGTGAAACGCCGCGGCCCATTCCCCACGCTCCGCCGGCCCCCCCCACCCCGCCCCTGGGGGGAGCATTCATGGTTTCACAAACCTCATGTTGCTGCTAATTACAGGGGTGCCTGGTCGCCAGACAGGGCCCCGCTGGTTGTTTTTTTATTCCATTCCCTGGGGCGGGGAGTGGGGGGCCCACCTGGGCCCACACCCTGGGAGCTAACCAAAGAGGGAGAGGGAGACACCTTGGTGCTGGGATGCCACATGGGGGGCGGGGGGGGGGGGAGAGAATAAAACAGCCTTTTGCATTAAAGACCAGGCCATGGGCATGGCTGGCGGCTGGGGATGGCAAGCCACAGCCGGGTGGCTGGCGGCTGGGGACGGCAAGCCACAGCCGGGAGGCTGGTGCCTGCTGCCTCGGGACCAGCCCAGTCTGGGGTTTAATCCCAGCAGAGGAAGCAGATCCCGCGCAGGCTGGAGCTGGATGCCAGGCCGGGGATGCTGGCCAGAGGGGCCGCCAAAAACAAAACAGGCTCACGCCTGAGGTTAAAGGGGGGGGAGCCGTGAGGCCTCGGGGCTGAGCCCATGCCAGCTGCTTTCCCCCCCCCCCCCCGATTGAAACTGGCAGCTCCGAGCCTGGAGATGCAGCAGTTGTGAGCCCCAGAATCCGCCCCGCATTGCCCAAGCTGTGGGCGCCGGCCCCACCCCTGCGGCCGCGGGCATCCCAGCAGGCACCAAGTCACACGTGAGCCCCGTGGGCGTGGGGAGGGGGGGGCCAAGCGCCAGGACAGCCATGGCTTGGGCTGAGCAGAGGGCTGCAGGCTAGCCCCAGCGCTGGCTCGAGGCAGGGGCCTGGGTCCCGCTGGAGAAAGGGGACACTAAACCAACCACCTCTTTTGCCATCCCCCCTGTGCAGCTTCCGCCCCGCCCCCCCCGCCCCCAGGAGTTAGCACCCTTTAATTTATACCAAGGAGCATTTTGTACAGGTTTTTAAGTTTTGGGTTTTTTTAAAAAAAATCTCGAGGTTTCTAGTTTTGTATTCTTCCCGCTTCTGTGCTCCAGCCGGGCTTGTGTCCCCACGCCCTCCCCGCCTCTGATGGAGCTCCCACTCGGCTCATGGGGAAGTTTTTGTTTTTAAATAAAAAGGTGGGAAAGAAAAAAAGGAAAGTTGGCTCAGTCTCCTCTGTGGTTTGGCGGTTGCCTGGGAAAGGCCTGGTAGGTTAGTGCAGCTGCAGCAATTCTGGCTTCCAGCACCAGGGGGCGCTCTCTGGCAACGTTAGTCACATGATGCACAACCTGTGGAACTCATTGCCAAGGGACGCTGTATCAGCCACCGGCCGCTGTCAGAGCCAGGATACAGCACTAGCTGAACCATTGGGCTGATCCACTGAGGCTGTTTCTTTGTTCTTAAGCCATGGGGGTGGGGGATTCAGGGCCAGTTTATCAGCAAAGGGTTTGTCCAGAGTAAGGAAACACATCCCAGGATGAGCAAGTCAGCCTGGGACTTGGAGCCCCAGCCGCGTCTAGGCCGGAGCACCGTTAGCTTGGGCGTGTCCGTTTCCCCAGCGGTTTTGGTTGGATCTTTTGCCCAGGAAAACAAACAAACCATTTAACCCTGGCAGAGCAACTGTCGAAGCCCAGGACGTCAGGGCCAGGTGCTGAGCTGCCCCGCAGCGCCCTGCATAGCACCCCTGCTTGGGCGATGCTCCCGGTACCAGGAACAGGCTGAGGGTAGGCGCCAGTGACTCTGGCGGGAGGGGGAGGTGGTGGTGGTTAGGGACAGTGTATTCAAGACTCCTCTGCAGCCCGGCATGGGCTCTGCCCCAGGGCAGCGCTCACCAGCCGGGACCCTGGGGTCATGCTGCAGCGGGTGCTGTTCTGGAAGCGGTCTGAGACCGAACGTGCTCATGTCACAGCAGGGCCCAGGCTCACCCCTACTCCAGCTGGGTTAATTCAGCACAGGAGAGACGGGAGCCAGCAGCGGGAACCAGGCCCTTCTCGCGCGGCCCAGGGGGCTGCAGCTGGGGCCTGTGGCACCAGAGCTGCCAGGCTCCCTCCCTGCGTTCCCAAGCCGAGGGGGCGGGCAGGGAGGCCGGCGGAGATGCGTCAGAAGCAGCTGCCCAGGCATGACTCAGCGGGTGCAGGCAGCCAGCCAGCCCCCTCTGCAGCAGCAGCTCCCCCCGCCAGTGGCCCGGGGGCTAGCTGAAAGGGACACGGGTGGAAGCCACCAACGCCTGGCCGCATGGGCACAGGAAGCTGGGGGGGGGGGGGGAGGGGGCAGAGGCCTGCGTTCCATTCCTTGGACTGCGTGCCTGAATCCCCTAGGCAGCTGAGCTGAGTTTTCTAACGGTAACAGCCTCATTTACCCACCAGCTGCGTATTGGTGCAGGGCCCCACCCTGGGAGTGCTCCAAGCCCCACCCCAGGGAATTAGGGAGGGGGCTACGCGCCCCTTGCACCCCGTGGAACCGTGCTCAGCCTGGAGGAGCGAAGAAAACGTTACACCAGGGCAAGATCTGGGCAAGGCCGCCGTATGGTCCTTTGCCTGCTTCCTTGCGCGGCTAGTGAAGCCTGGGGATGAGATTTTCCAGCAGGGGCTGGCGAGGGAGGATATGGCTCAGGCGGGAAGGGGGCTCCTGGGGAATTTTTAAATGCCTTCTAATAAAATGAGCTTCTACTCCTACCAAACTGGGGGGGTGCGGGGGGGGGAGAACCACAGGGAGAGGAGGAATTTTTTTCCTACAGCTCACATCCCTTTGACTCCATGCTCCTAACTCTCTTAGGCACAGCTTCTGCCTAATCCCCGTTCCGCCTTCCCGACACGAAGGCCAAACTTCGGCCCCGAAAAGCCAGCCGAGCTGTTGCCCCCACCCCCAGCCGCCCGCCCCCACCAGAAACACCCCCGACGCCGCCGTCTCTATCAAACGTGGGTTTGTTTTTATTCTCGCAACTTGACAAGCACTCTCTACGGCTGCACTTGTGGGAACATCACATGGCAACAAACAGGAGTTAATCTAGAATATTTTTTTTTCCTTTAAACCTTATTAAAAATGAGATTGGTCCTAAAAATATAGAAAGAAAGAAATTTAAATTCACAAAACCTGTACATTATCAAAAAGCCACTGAACCACCACGCTGGGCTATATAAAAGAGAGCCAGTCCGGATCCTTGTACCGGGAACGTGAGAATATCTTTCTTTTAGGGCGGCTGGTTCTTCCTGTTTGATCAGACAGAGATGGGGGGGGAGGGGAGAGGGAGGGCCAGTTCTAGACTCCCCCCCTCAAAAAAAAATGTAATTTCCAAAGCCAACTCATTAAGGGTTAAAAAATAAAATATATTCCACATCTTACCCTTTCTCTTACTTAGTCCAGAACGGATTTCTACCCACTGGTGCATCCCCCGTAAGGAAGCATGGACTGGCGGGATTTCAGACACGTCTGGATTAATTTGGGGGGGGGGGGGGGCAGGGGCTAAGAGGGAGGGTGAGGGTTTACAATTCAGGGCGTCTTATCAGGGAAAAAAAATTTTTTTAAAAACCAACACCACCACACCCTTACAGAGACTCTAAAACTCGCCCATGACAAAAACCAAAACAGAAACCTGACAGCTCCCAAATAGTAAAAAAAAAAACAACCCCCCCCCCAAAAAAACAAAAAAAAGTTGGTTACCGCGCCGTTATTTAGATAAAATATAAATATTTATGCATAATATAAAGTCAGTTCAAACAGACTTCAAATCCACCTCTTCTTTCAAAGCAAAAAAACAACATAAAAAGGGTTTGAGGTTATTTGATAGAAACAAGGCTACTTTTTAAAGACGAGGGGCAGGGGGTGGGGGAATGCATGACAGAGGCTGCTTCCATCGCAGGGCTTCCCACCCCCCCCAAGGTAGGTTGGTTGATTTCAGTGCTTGTGGTGAGTGGAGGACAGGCTGGGGGGGGGGGGGCGGTGCCCCAGCTGTCCCACAGCCGGACTGGACTCTGAAGGGGGCTCCACTGGGGCCCGTCCGCCAGCTGCCCCAAAGCGAGTACCCGTAATATCGTGGTTTGAGGAGCTGGGGGGCAGCCAGGGGGTTGATTACCACACCATCACTCCAGCTCCGTGACTCTCCATCCCCAGACTTGGCTTAAGACTTGGGAAGGGCAAGGGACCCCCCCCACCCCCCCACTTTCCAGAAAGGCCTGGGGGAGACCAGCAAGGGCCGCAGAGTGAATGAGCAAAGGGTTAATGGGGGCCATCGGCGGGGGGAGTTATTTCCAAACAGAACAGGCCGGGGGGGGGGGGGGGTTAGACAGAACCCAGCTCAGCCTCCCCTGCCTAGATAAGGCCTGGCCGGCCCCTGCCCCCCCCAGCATTCACCAGCAGACATTACCCTCAATACTGGGGAGGTGGGGGGCGCAGGCTGCAGCTAATCCATGCAGCAACCGAGTGCCCACCCCCCTTCATTTTAAGCTGGGTGCCTAGCCCCCCTAGGCAGCTGGGGAGGATTTGGGGGGGGCGGGGGGAGAAGCAAGCCTTCACCTCCAGCTCTCCCGCACCCGAGCCAAGGACGGGGTCACGGGGCAGAGGGAGAGACTCCCCATTTGGACCCAGGGGCCCGGGCTCCCCGCAGTGTCGGGAGCCAGGGGCCTTTCCCCTGCCCTGAGCAGGTTGCGAGGTTGGCCAGCGCCCCCAGTGCACCTTCACCAAAGGCCCCCCAAGGTCCCCCAGGCCCAGCGAGCGGTGCTGGGGAGGGCGGGGGGGAAATGTAGCCTTGAGTAGAGGCGGGGCCTCCCACGAGCTGGGGGCGGGGCTTGTACACTGGGCAGCGGAGTCCTTGGTGCCAGCTGAGCCATTCAGGGGCTTGGGGGGGGGGGTGTCGACCACCCCTTTGGCCCCCGCATCCCGTTGTGGGGCAGCCGCCAGCCCAAAGGGAGGGGTCCTGCCCTGCTCCCCCTGCCGGTTCTTTGCTGCGGCGAGGGGGGGATGCGTGCTGCCTGCGAAGAGCACCCAGTGGGGGTAGGGGGGCTGGGCCCCCCCCATGGAGTGCAAACGCACCAGCTTGGGGAGCGAGGGGGGGCTGAAGGAAGAGGAAACACCACAAGCCCTACAGCCAGGGGAGGGGCACAAACAGTCAGGGTCCGAGGTAAGGCTGGGATCCCATGAACAAGCCCAGGGCACTGGGGCTGGGGGGTTTCTTGCTGAGGAGCAGAGGCAGGGAAGGAACCCCCCCCGCAGAACCACCGCCCCCCCAGCTCCAGCTCCAGCTCCAGGCCGTGCTCAGCCCAGCCCAGGGCCCTGTGGGTGTGTCAGACAGACATCGACCCCCACACACAGATAATAGGGGTGGGGGGAAGGGACAGTCCAACAGGAGAGAAGGTTCTGACCCAGAGGGGGGTGGGTGGGGGACACAACAGAGGGACACCCGCTGCTAAAGGGTCTGCCAGGGTAGGGCCTGATGCGGGAGAGGGAGGGGCCTTTTGGGGGGGGGGGGTTGGAAGAGGGTTAGGGTTAGAGAAGGAGGTAGTATAAAGGTCCCGGAAGGAAGGCATGGGAAGGTCCCGGAAGGTAAGGGCGAGGGAAGGAAGGCATGGGAAGGTCCCGGAAGGTAAGGGCGAGGGAAGGAAGGCATGGGAAGGTCCCGGAAGGTAAGGGCAAGGGAAGGAAGGCATGGGAAGGTCCCGGAAGGGAAGCAGCGAGGCAGGGGGGAGGGGTGTGTGGAAGCAGCACGTCTCAGTGTCGTTGCGAGCGGGTCCGGGCGTGAAGCTCGACGCGAATCTCGAGGAGTTGAGTTCACTTTACTGGCCATTAATGCCTCAGGGACAGCGCACAGCGGTACTGTCCTCATACACGTTCACTACGAACTATTGCTATGTTAAATACTCCCAGCCAAGGGGGGGGGTCTTTCCTCGTTTGCCGGGTCGGGCGGTGGCGAAGTAGAAAAGGAACCCGACGAGCGATCGCCCGGTTTCTTTCTTTTTTGGCTTACACAGTCCGTGAGTCCAGGTGGCTGGGGGGTGGGGTGGGGGGGAAGGGAGCAGCTGGACCGTGGAGATGCCCCGTTACCCCAAGCCCCCTGGTGGTGGTGGGGGTGGGGGGGCCTTTTCCACGCCACGTCGGGACCAGCCTCCGTCGGGAATTCAGCAGGCAGCGAGATCGGCTCCTGGGGAGTCAGTTCTTTTGCAGGGGGGACGGGGTGTCTCTCCCCACCCCACCCGAGACAGGTCTCAGGTCAGGAGCGTGGAGGGAGGGGGGCTCCGTCCCCCCACACAAGCCCCGGGCTCCCGCTTCACGGGTTAGGAGCGTGTTTTCCCTGATAAAATTCCTCCCACCGGCTCTCGAAGAAGCTCCGCATGGCGCGCCCGGCCTTGCCCACCTCCGAGTCGTCCTCGTTGAAGGTCTGGCAGTTGTCGAACACCCGTGTGGCGTCGGCAGCGAACTCCTCGCAGCTCACGTATCTGGGGGGAGAGGGACTGAGTCACCCCCAAGTGCCCCCCGCCCGGATCACAGCAGCCTCCAAGAGTAGGGAACAGAGTCTCGGGGTGTCTGGTCCCCTGTGCTCCCAGGATCAGATCTCCTGCCCTCTGACCCCACAACCGCCACCCTCCCCCCTTGCCTGACCCCCCACCCCATCCCCCATCCTGGCTCTTTCCCTCTATCCTCCCCCCACAACAGCAGTTGCCCCTCTGGCCCAGCGACACCTGGGCAGTGACCTGCCAGCCCCTGGAAAGAAGGAGGAGAGGCCCCCATGCCAGCCCCACACAGCCAGATGGGTGCAGGTAGGTTCTTAGACCTTGGGGCCAAGCGGCCCAGGGAGGGTCGCATGGCACCAGCCCACAAGCTCCATGCTTCCCTTTGGCTCCTTGCAGAGAGCCCCCCGCTCCCCAGGAGGAGAGCAGAGCCCCCCACCCCAGCACTCACTCGCCCCGCAGCAGCCGCGTCCGCATGGTGGCGAAGTCCATGGGGTTCTTGATGATTTTCCTGTAGCCAGGCACCAGCCGGGGGTTGACGGGCTCCAGGAAGGGCCAGGCATCCTCCTGAGACTCCATCTCCATCAGGATGATCCTGCAGAAGGGAAGGGACATATACCAAACTGGGGTGTACAGTGTCCCTCCCGCCCCCCAGCTGGGACATGCACATGACCCCCCTCATCAGGCCCCGCCCCAGCTGGGGGGCACACCCCAGGGTACGTACTCGCAGAAGGTCAAGTCGCTGCTCTGGCCCCGTGGGGACAGTCTCCTCCGCTTGGAGGGGGACAGGCCCTCCCCTGAGTAGCGGGGCACCGACAGGGTGTCACGCCTCCGCGGCAGGACCCGGCGCCCGGGGCTCTCCTCCTCCTCCGGGAAGCCCCCCCCGAAAAGACGCCCGCCTTTCCGCTTCTTGCCCCGCCTGGGCGAACTGGGGTCGTTGTAATACTCGCCTCCTGCCTGCAAAGAAAGAGAGACTGGGGGAGTCACCCGCTGGGACCGGTCGCTCCCTCCCACAACCTGCACATTGGGGAAACTGAGGCACAAGGGGAGGCGCTCCTCCGAGGTCACACAGCCACCCCCCCAGCAGTCCTGGCTCCCAGCAGGGGACCGTGCTGAGAATGGGGTAGGGGAGAGGGGGCATTATCTGGCCTCAGAAAGATCTCAGTGAGGGGGGCAGCCAGGCTCAGCCCATGCACAGGTCGAAGGCCAGCTGGGCTCCCACGGGAGCGTACCTGGGAGACGCAGACGGAGCAGAACCAGTCCCCATCCGGCACCTCCGTCATCCTGGGCCGGTGGCAGTAAAGGTGGCAGCCGCGGTCGCAGCCATCACACAGCAGCAGGTGTTCGTCATCGTCCCCCTTTCGGCACACCAGGCACGTCTAGGGGGAGAGGGGAATGCGAGGTGGGCGGGCTGAGAGAGGCCCCCAGCCCCCGACAGGAGCCCAGCCCAGCCGGGCATTTATGTCTCACCCTACTAGGCCCATCCAGCCCTGACCCCCTCCCTGCCTCTGCACTGGGAGCATGGCTCCCCCAACAGCGTTCCAGCCCCGACTCTCCCTCCTGCAGCGGGGAGTTCCACCTCTTCCCTGCATGACCCCACCCCAACCCCTTACCACTTTGTTGACCGACTTCTCCCAGGCGATGGATTTCTCCAGCTGGTAGATGCACAGGGAGACCTGGGCCGCGCTCCGGCACCGCTCCAGGGTCTGGCGCCACGTCCGCATCCGGGGAGTGATCTCGTAAGCGCTGGGGGGGCACGGACGGACACTCAGTCTGGCACATGGAGGATGCCCTGACGGGGAGCTGGTCACATGCTAAGTAACCCTCACTGCCACCCCGCACCCAGCCCTGGGGAGGGGGCTACTGACCAGGTTGTCCAGAGAGGGAAACATAGGCATGGAAAGACAGGGATTCGCCCAAACCGCACAGCAAGGCAATGGCATGGCTAGGAAGAAAACCCAGGAGTCCTGGCACCCAGCAACTCCCTGCGTTAACCCACTAGACCCCACCCCCATCCCAGAGCCAGGAGAAGAACCCTGGAGTCCGGGCTCCCAGCCTGTGCTCTGGAGTCTGGTCCCGGAGGCCCCTGTTGCCCCCTCACGGGCCAGGCACTTACATCTCCGTGCTGCCCAGGTCCAGCGCCTCGGGGCTGCTCAGCACGGCCTTCTCCACCACCACCTCATGCGGGGGCCACAGCGGCTCCTTCAGGTACCGTCGCTCCATGTTCTGCTCCAGCGAAGCCAGCCGCAGGACGGCCAGGTCCAGGGGGTTGGTGGCCTCCCGGCGCGGGGGCAACCCCTCCCGCCGGTTCTTGAGGGTGATGTCCTCCAGGGCCCCCACCTTGTGCTCGCAGTACTGCAGGTCGTCCCGGGCCGAGTCGGGGCTCGGACACGTCCAGCCCTGGGGGGAGGGAGAGACTTAGAGGGGGGCCGGGATCCCCTGCACGGATGCCAGCCGGCTTTACCAGCTACCCAGCAGCACCTGGGGCTGCCTTGGGGTCATTCATCCAGGTGCCAACCTCTTGAGCTCACAGCCCCGCGGGGGGACCCTGGAGTCTGGGCAAGGCAGCCGGACCCGGGGAAGGAGTTCGCTGGAATGACCGGGCAGCCGCCTGGGCCAGGGCCCCCATCCCCTGCACCAGGTGCGCCCTGCAGCACCCAGGAGGCGTGCAAACCGCAGCACCCTCTAGCTCTCCCAAGCTAGAGCGGGGGGCGCAGGGCGGGGGCCAGGCTCCTCACCCGGATCTGCAGATCCGCCATCAGGACCCGCTGCTCCAGCTCTTCCACCCACTGCAGGAGGGCGAGGTCCATCTCGTAGGCCCGCTCCGTCACGGACCACCGGGCCAAGGCTTCCTGAGACACGGGGGGGCCGGCGGCCTGGGGCTGGAAGATGGGATCTGAGCAGAAGAAAGGCAGGGTTACAACCCGGCATCCTCCCCCCGCCCCCCCACCTCCCCCCGCCCGCCGGCGCGGCCTCACCAGCAGAGGTGCGGGCGCAGACCTCGTGCAGATACTCCTTGTGCTTGGTGAGATGCTTGTGCAGGGCCTTCTCGCGGATCCCCCGCGGGTGCAGCGCTCGGGCCATGGCCTCCAGCTCCTCCGGGTCCTTGAGCCACCACCAGCCGCTCTGCATCTCTGCAAGGCAGCGAGGGAGCCGGCTGAGCCGGAGGAGGGGGGACCCCAGGGGAAGGGGACCCCAGCAAGGAACGGGAGACGATCCGACAATCCCCACCACCCCGCAGCACGGCAGGGAACGGGACCCAGGAGTCCTGGCTGGCACCGAAACCCAGCTCCCTGCCTTCTATCAAGACGTGGGCGAACGTGGTCTCCTGCCACCCTGTGCTTCACCCGAGGCTGGGTGCCCCCAGTGAACGGCAGGCTGGGGGAAAGACACAAGAGGGGGACCCACCCACCCCCAGGCAAGGAAGGAAAGTCTGGATGGGCAGAGAGGGTGGCACTGGGGGAAAAAGCCATGCTGGAAGTGGCAGGTGGGGAACTGGGCTGCCCCGGGGGAGAAGAGAAGAGCAGGGCTGGGGGCATTGCTCAGCTGCAGGGGGATCCTCACCTGGGGGCACGGGCTGTGCCATCATCTGGGTGAGATACTTCTGCTCAATCTGCTTGAAGAACTTGGTTGGGGGCCGGCCCCGGCGCTTGGGCTGCCCCGGCGGCTCCTGGGCATTCTCAGGTCCGCCCCGGCCCCTCGGGCACGTGCTGGGCACCCTGGGGCTGGCGTGGACGGGCGTGGAAGCGAAGGGGGGAGACACAGGGCCATTTGGCTGGGAGGAGAGAGACAGCGCAGGTGAGAGGTGCCGGGTGCACAGCCCTCACCCCAGCCCTGCCGCCCCCCCCCCCCCCGAGCCAGTCCCTCCAGCCCCCCGGGGCTCGGAATCCAAGTGACCAATGTCACAGAGCTCCCCTCATTTCCCACGGGCCTCGTCTGTGCTCCTGCCCACCCTTCCTCCCCTCACAGCCACCACCCTACTCCTCCCTGGACTCAGCCCCACACCCTCAGCCCAGGCACCCCGCGGATCCGCCAGGCGCCAGCCAGTTCCCCTGACCCCTCCCTGGGGCCCAGATCCTGCCGCAGGGGCTAAGGGAAGAGGATGGGGCAGCTTTCCAGCCCTGCTTAGAGCGACACCTACAGGGGCCAGAGGGGAGGGTCCTTTTGGCAGTGCCAGCTGACCCTGTGGGCACAGCGAGTCAGGCGCCTGCCAAAGGGAATTGCTAGGCCCCCCCACCCGTGTCCCATTCCACTAACTCTTTTCGCGCCCACTCCAGCAGTGGCCCCAGGCACCCTGCCAGCTCTCACCTGCCTGCCCGTGGCCTTGGGCTGGTCCCCGGGGTGAAGGCTGTGAGGCTGGGGGGCTGCTCGCAAGTGGGGCTCCTCCTCCGAGGTAGCAAGGGGGGCAGCGGCATGGCAGGGAGTCCTGGGCAGCAGGTTGAACCAGGGCCCCCGTTTCTCCGCTGTCTCTGGGAAGCTCTCCTCCAGGGCGGGCACCTCGGGGGCAGGGGGGCTGGGGTCCCCCTTCCCGGGGCTGCTGTCCGGGGTGAGCACTGAGCCGTTGAGTAGGGACGACTGCGTCTGGCTCAGCCAGGACAGGAAGGCCGACTGGCTCAGGTCGTGCTGGCTCTGGCAGGGGGGCATTGAGTCCTCCAGGAGCCCATTGAGGGGCGGGGGCTTGGGCCCGCCCGGCCGGGCCGGCTCCTCTTTGCTTTTCCGCGGCCGGCCCCGCGCCCGGGAGGCTGGGCAGTTTGGCCGGCCAGGGATGGGCACCGTGACCGGTTCCTTCTTCACTGGGGAGATCTCCGGGGCTGCCTCTTTTTCCTCCTCCTGCTCCGTGTCCTTGGGCCCCTCCTCCGTAGCTGCAGGTGGGGGTGTGGGAAGAGATCAGAGCCATGCAAGCCCCTCCGCTCCAACAGCCCCCGCTCCCCACGAGGCCCCCGACTCAGCTCACCTGCCTCGGAGCCCTCCACGAAGATCCCGCCCAGGTGGGGCAGGACCCAGTACCGCCTGCGGTAGCGGTCCTGGCCCAGTGCTGCGGCCCGCAGCGTCTGCGAAGCGTGAAGCAGCTTCTTCCGAAAAAACATCTGCCTCTGTGGGGGTGGGGGAAAGAGGGCAGAGAGGGTGAACCGGGGGGAGGTATCGTCTGCTGGGGGCTGTCCCGGGGGATCCAGAGCCAGAGGCCGGAAGCTCCCCACCCCAACACTGGCCAGCCTTACCTTGGCTAGCTTCTCGATCTGTCTCTCCAGCTCGGGGACGCTGGCTGCGGGAATGCTGGCCTGAGCGGGAAAAAATGGGACAGACAGGAGGAGTGAATGCCCACCCCCTTCCTCCGGCTCTGCATACGGGACCCCTATGCGGATGGGTGGGGGGGGGGAGAAGAGAGAGGACAGTCCCTCCTTTAACCCCTTCAACATCAGCAGCTCTGGTTCACCCTCGTGCTGTCGCCCCATGGCGCCCCTGGGGAAACTGAGGCACCAGGGAACGAGACTTGCACGGGCCAGTGCTAGAGCTGGGACAAGAACCCAGCAGTCCTGTCTCCCCCATTGCCTCTGCTTGAACCCCTAAAAATGACACTGCCTCCAAAAGCCAGAGGCAAACATCCCCACTCCCCTTGCCTGGGGCCTGGCCCTGCCACGCAGCTACCTCCTCATCCTTGCGGGATTTCCGGCCCCGGCTCTCTTCCTCCTCTGTCTCCAGGCCCCTGGTCTCCTCCGGGAGCCGGGAGCTGCGCCGCCTAGGCCCCTCGTCCAGGCCCGTGATCTCGGGTTCCGGGCGGCCCGTCTTCTTGGCCAGGGCGATTTTCAACCTGCCGAGCCACACAGGGAGCGTCCTGAGCACCAGCCGGGGACACCGACTCCCTTCCGCCCCTCGGGTACCCACGTGGGCGGAGGGCAGGTGCACAGTTTGGATCCAACAGGCCGGGAGCTCAGTTTTTGCCCTCGCAGAGCGGATTCAGCAGCGTACAGCCTCCTTCCAGTTCACCAAGACGCCTGGAGCCCCTCTGCCCCCACCCCATACATTTCTCTGCCAGAAGTAAGGCTGGGCATTTAACTGATCCTAAAATAGGCGGTCAGTTCATCAATCAAAAATTGCCCAATATTTTAAAGCACTGACTTATTCCAACTATAAACCACAGGCGTTCATGGCCTCCCGCAGGCTGCGCCCGAGATCAGCGATCCCCAGACAGACTCGCGAGCCGCAAGTGGCTCTTCAGTGTCTCCCCCGCGTCTCTCTGCGACACACGACATTAAAACACCGTGTGACTTAATTATTGACCCGTCTAAAGTATCAGCCCGTCAGGATGCTTTTGTTATGTTCTTAACCGACTGCAGTTATGAAAGAATAATACAGCAGAATGACGGACTGGGTGAGAATCATATAGAAATAAAAACTAGATACTCTTTAAATAGGGAGTACCTAGCGCTCTAGTCCATGGACCAATGAATTCACACGGCGGTGGCTCTGCTGGGCAATGCGGAGCGCTAATTTGGCTCCTGAACCACTGAGGTCTGAGCATCCCAGCTTAGACATTGGTGCTTCATTCCAAACGATGAGCTACTCGAGCTCAGAACGGAAAATGTGTTGAAATGAAGTTCCAACTGATGAAAGATGCAATCGCAAGGGTAGGTCAGCGCCTACTTCAGGGCATCTCGCTGGAATATTTAACTCTGGTCGAATAACAGGCAGGCAGTTGACATTATCTGGCTAATCAATTGCCCAGAAACTCTGCCCCCAGCCAGCTCCCAGCCTCCTCCCCGACCCAGCCGGCCGCCCGAAGCCCTCAGGAGCACCCACCTGCGCAGCTTGCCCTCGATGATCCATTTATTCCTCCTGTAGTTGGACATGTTCTCCAGAGTCTTGTCGATTTCACTGCAAGGACAGCCCAGAATTGAGTTAGGGGGAGACCCGCAGAGTAGTCCCGTCCGGACCTCTCCCCGCCCCGTGCCCCCTGGGGAAGGCAAAGGAGCAACACCCACCAGGGTGCCAGGGCTGGATCTCGCCTCCAGGCCCAGCCTGTTGAGTCCCTGCCCATCACGTGCTCGGGAACGGTTCAGAGCGTGTACGGCTGGGGCGGGCGGAGCACAGCCCATAGACTACGAGTCCCAGCATGCAACACTCCCACCTGGATTGGCGCAAAGCTTCCCACTCAGAGCCAGATGGCAGCACTGCATTCTGGGACTTCTTGTCTACAAGCCCGCTGAGCGCTTAGCTCAAACCATGATAGGATATCTAGTTTCCCTGACCTGCACCATTCCTAGGGTCAAGGCAACCTAATGCACGCTGGGATATGTAGTCTCCCTATCCTGCACCATTCCCCAGGCTCAATGCAGCCCAATGCATGCTGGGATATGTAGCAGAGTAGCAGCCGTGTTAGTCTGTGTCCTCAAAAAAGTGTGTTAGTCTCTAAGGTGCCACAAGTATTCCTTTTCTTTTTGCTTGGATATGTGGTCTCCCTGGGCTGCACCATTCCCGAGGCTCACGGCGGCCCAATGCACGCTGGGATATGTGGTCTCCCTGGGCTGCACCATTCCCGAGGCTCACGGCGGCCCAATGCACGCTGGGATATGTGGTCTCCCTGGGCTGCACCATTCCCGAGGCTCACGGCGGCCCAATGCACGCTGGGATATGTGGTCTCCCTGGCCTGCACCGGCCCTAGGCTCACGGCGGCCCAATGCACGCTGGGATATGTGGTCTCCCTGGGCTGCACCATTCCCGAGGCTCACGGCGGCCCAATGCACGCTGGGATATGTGGTCTCCCTGGGCTGCACCATTCCCGAGGCTCACGGCGGCCCAATGCACGCTGGGATATGTGGTCTCCCTGGCCTGCACCGGCCCTAGGCTCAAGGCCCCAATGACTATATGTGGTCTCCTGCTGCACCATTCCCGAGCTCACCCAATGCAGCTGGGATATGTGTCTCCCTGGCCTCACCATTCCCGAGGCCAATCACGCTGGTTGTGGTCTCCTGTGCACCATTCCCGAGGCTCCAATGACGCTGGGATATGTGGTTCCCTGGCCTGCACCGCCCTAGGCTCAAGGCGGCCCAATGCACGCTGGGATATGTGGTCTCCCTGGCCTGCACCGGCCCTAGGCTCAAGGCGGCCCAATGCACGCTGGGATATGTGGTCTCCCTGGCCTGCACCGGCCCTAGGCTCAAGGCGGCCCAATGCACGCTGGGATATGTGGTCTCCCTGGGCTGCACCATTCCCAAGGCTCAAGGCGGAGCAATGCACGCTGGGATATGTGGTCTCCCTGGCCTGCACCGGCCCTAGGCTCACGGCGGTGCAATGCACGCTGGGATATGTGGTCTCCCTGGGCTGCACCATTCCCAAGGCTCACGGCGGCCCAATGCACGCTGGGATATGTGGTCTCCCTGGGCTGCACCATTCCCAAGGCTCACGGCGGTGCAATGCACGCTGGGATATGTGGTCTCCCTGGCCTGTATCACCCTGTGAGAGGCAACAGCTGGGTTTTGCTCCCGGTTCTAGCCCCTACCCCCCCAAGGCTGCAGGGCATAAGCGGCCCCGCCCAGCCCCCGCTCCTCACTTGATGATGAGGGCACTGCCATTGAGCTCGTTGACCAGGAAGGCCAGGATGGCTGCCTTGCGGTCCGGGGGCAGCGCCTGGAAGGGCTTGGTCCGCAGGCCGTGGCATAGGTCGGCGTCGGCCCCATAGGCCATGAGGAAGCAGCGCAGGATCTCGGAGACGGTGTCCCGGTTCAGGCTGATCTCGGACACCTTCTCCCCGAGGATCTTCAGGGACTGGGGGGGAGGAGGAGGAGGAGAGGCGTTAAAGCAGCGGAGGAGGGGCCAGGGGAGGGTCTTTGCTGGGATACGGGGGAGGCGGGATCCTGGCTGCACAATGCCCCAGCTCATGCAGGAAGTGTGGGGCCGGGCAAGAAACGGAACCTGGGTTTCCCCGGCCCCACGCCCGCCTCGTTCAGTCCGAGTCCAGGGGGCTCGGCCACGTACCTGGCAGTAGGAAGGGAGGCCGGGGTCGTAGAGCGCGGCCTGGAGCAGCCGCACCAGCAGATCCTGCACCTCGCCCAGGCTGTCGTCCACGCCGAACAGCCCCTCCTGCAGGGTGCAGAGGCTGGGCACGTCCCGGGGCACCTCGAAGCCCAGCACCCGGCCGTAGGAGTGCAGGAACTCCACAATGGTGAGGCAGTCGGAGAAGGCCCCGCTGGGCAGGACCAGGCCGGGGATGCGGGAGAAGGCTGGCAGGGGCTGCGGGGGGGGGAAAAGAGACGAGCGGCTGGTCAGCGGGGCCTAGTGGGTGGAGCAAGGGCCCTACCAGATTTCAGCACGGATTCTCTTCCTCCCCCCGGCCCCCCAACACACAGGCCTGTGATACTGGCCTCCCCACCCCCAAAGGGCCAGCGCAAGAGGCACCAGGCCCCGTGCCCCGCACGGCGGGGGCCTCGCTCAGCCCTTGCCCTGCGGGGAGCCCACACCTGACCCACTCGTGGGAGCCCGGGGCAGCTGGGGGACGCTCCCCACAAAGCTGCAGAGCCAGACGGGCGCTAGCCTCGGGGTGGGGGGCCCTGATCTCCCCCCTCCCGCCAGGGGGTTCACCCAACCTGATGGTCGCCCAGACACATGTCCTCCGTGGGCTTCTTCATCTCCTCTAGGATCATCTGCTGCCGGCGCCGCTCCTCCAGCCGCCGCTGGGCCAGCAGGTTCTTGTCCACCTTCCGCACAGCCTTGGCCTTCTCCTTGGGCCGCCCCTTCTCCTTGGGCCGCCCCTTCTCCTTGGGCTTCTCCGGCCGCGCCTTCTCCTTCTTCGCCTGGGGGACAGACAGAGCGACCGGCACGGGGGCGAGTCAGGGATGCAGCCTCCCCCAGCTTTGTGTCTCCCCCCTGCCCCCCCAAACAGGGCCCTCCACACCCACCTTGGCTTTCTTCTTGGCCTCCTTGGGCTTGGGCACTTTGGCCTCCTGTTTCTGTTTGTTCCTTGCCTAGAAGGGATGAAATCCAGCTCAGGTGGGAGGGGAGTCCCAGACTGAGGGGGATACCCTCCCAGCTCCGACTGGGTGCCCCAGATGGAGGGGAAACGGACCAGGGAGCCCTCCCCAGCGCCGCTCGTACCTTTCGCCTCATCTTCTTCTTGATCTTGCTCATCTTCAGCTTCTCTTCGTCGCTGAGCACCTCTGCAAATTCGAGGGGGCGGGGGGTGGGGGAGAGAGAAGACTCAAGGGTGGAGTCTGGCACAGCCGGGGGGGAACGTGCACCCCTAACCCCACTCCCAGGCTGGGCACAGCTCCCTGGCCCTGGATTCCCGTGCCCCAGCAGCCACACAGGCCTCTCCAGGCCCTCGCCCCGCTGGAGGGGGCAGGTCTGAGCTGTGGGTGTCACCTGGCGGAGAATTCGTGTCTCCTGGTGGCCAGGAACGTGGCACTGGGAGCGCACGCTGCCTGGAAGCTGCCATTCGACTCGGCAGCGTGTGCCGAGATGGGGGGGACGGGAGCAAGTTGCGGGGTGGGGGGAGACGGGAGACGGGCCAGGGGTTGCACTGAATGGAACGGATTGGGCAGAACTAGCGAGGCTGAAGTTTTAGGCCCAGCCTGCCTGAGCAGGCCCAAGCTCACGCCCTCCAGCTGGCAGCGTCTAAGCCGGACTCCTCCCTGGACGGTGCCTTTGCAGCTGGGGCATGCAGCGGGTTGAGGGTGGGGCCGGATCCAGAGTGATGCTGAGCAGCCCCGTCCCTGCTCTGAAATCAATGGGAATGGGCCGGCGCATTGGGGCCAGTAGATGAGCTCCCTTAGAGCACAGGGGCCGCATGACACGCGGGGCAGGGTACCTTGGGCTTCCAGTTTCTTCAGGAGCCGGGCATCGGTCTTGCTCAGCAAGTCGGCCATCTTGGCCTTGGGGGGCCGGCCCCGGCCGCGCTTCACCTTGGGCGCTTCCTTGGCCTTGGCCTTCTCCTTCTCCGCATTGCGGGGGCGCCCGCGCTTGCCCGTGATGGCCTGGATGCGCGAGGGGATTTCCTCCTGGGTCAGCTTCACCCACTGCAAGCCCTGCATGGGAGGGGGGAGCTGCAAATCACCACTGGGTCTCCGCACCAAGCCCTGACCCGATCCCCCAATGCCCGCTCGCCTGAGCCCCTGGGGAAGTCTCCTTTTCGCCCATGGCGAGGGCACCAGCCGGGCAGGGAGGCTCCGGGGAGCACGGGAGGGACTCCGACCTGCCAGCTGGCAAAGCCATGGGGCCCCGGGCCCTGCAAACCCTGCGCCTCGGGCGCATCCCCAATAAACGGGCGCTCGCCTCCGCCCCTACCCACCCCGCTCCCAAGAGAGGAACAGGCCCCGTGGCCGGGCAGAGCTGGCTGCAGCCTGCGCCCTAGGGAAGGTGCCCACCTCGGGCGTGTCCCGCTCCTCGTAGAAGTCGCCAACGGGCATGCGGGGGCTGAAGCTGAAGTGTTCACGCCGGACGTCCTGCACCACATTCCGGCTCAGGTACTGGGGGAGAGACAAGGCAAATGGGGCTGATCAGGCACCGGGACACCCCCCTCTGCAGCACAACGGGCAACCCCCCCCCCCCGGCCGACACTGGGCATCGTCATGGGGGCACCCAGCAGCAGGGATCTGCCTGCTCCAACCCGCCACGCCAGCCTCCCGACGGCCACGGGCGAGGGATTCCACCCTGGTCCTTGACGGGGAGAGAGGTTTACCTTGATCACCTCCGGGAACTGCTTCATCCTTTTGCCGCAGGGCCCGTAGTACCAAGTCTCCCCCTGCCAGCGGTGGCTGCCCTTCTTGATCCGCACTTCCCTCCTCCACCTGCGCGGGAAAGGCCCGTCAGTGGCCGGCACCCACCTGGGCGGAGCGCTGGCCGTCCCCCACCCCGGCATTGCTCCAGGACCAGCCCCCGGGTGCCACCTACCCGTGCTGCAGGGGGAAGCGAACCTCCTCCACCGTGGCAATCCGTCTGCGGGGGACTTCGCCTGCCAAGACAGGGGGCCAGTCACTCACTGCGCGCCAGCTGCTCGCTTACAGGCCAGGGTGGGGGCAGGGGAAGGGGCTGGAACAGCCGGGGGTGAACAGCTTCTCACCTACCCCTTGCTGACGCACTGAGCGGGGCGGCTGGAGCCTCCAGGCAGCTGTCCTCAGCCACTTCTTCCTCTTCCTCCTCCTCCTCCTCCGGCTCCAGACAGGCGGCTGGGGACTCTGGCTCCAGCGGGGGGCTGCGCTCCAGAGACTCCGAATCCTCCTCCCCTGGGTCGCCCCCGTCCTGCAGGTCCAAGCTGCTGTCTGCAACACCAGGGAGGGACAGAGATTTGTGGGGCAGGACCACCCCAGCTGGGGTGGAGCGGGGGATACGCTGTCTGCTGGGGTTATTTGCCAGGCTGCCACCCCATGCTGTGTCCCCCCACTCGAGGCAATCCCAGTGATTCGTCTCTGCCCCCCCACCCATGGGCAGGCCCTGGGACTCCCCTTTCGGGGCGGAGGGGGTGACAGGATGAAACAAACCCTGTCACGTCATGCGGCGAGTCTGCAGCCGAGCCGGGACAGCAGCCCCGGTGCCGCATCACCTCTGCTGTAACCACTGAGCCACGCTCCCTGCAGAACTGGAGAGGCCGGCTGCCAGACTGGGGCTCCCAATACGCCCCCTTCTAAAATCCTAGACCCCGAGCCTTGCTGCTGTTCATGGTTCCTCTGGGATTTTTCTCCCCTGGCTGGAGCCCTTAGAACCAACCCCCCCACTCAATACCCCCGGCTTTCCACAGGCCCACTTCCCTGGGGGTACGCCGGCCATCTGTATCCACCTCTTAACCGGAGCTTGGAAGCTCTGTGGGGCAGGGATTGTCTTTTTTCGGGTACGTACAGCACCCAGCACCATGGGGCCCCGGTCTCGGACTCCCAGGCGTTGCCGTAACACACAACACTAGGCAGGATTCCCCTCACGCCGTGCGCCCACCTCCCCGGAAGAAAGTTTGAGCCACTGGGCTGGAGATGACGCAGCGTCTGCTGGGACACGTAGTCCCCACCAGCTGTGCGCTTTGCAAAAGCAGCCCGGTCTGGCCCTACAGCCACTTGTAAGCCGGTTCCGCACCAGAGACGCCCCCTACCTTGCAAGACGGCCTCCCCCAGGACAGGGGGCGAGACGGGGCTAACGAAGAGCGACGAGGGGGCCTGGCTGTCGTCCGGCAGCAGGCTGAAGGAGCTGGAGTTGTTCAGGGAGGGGCTCTCGGAGCAGTCGAGGGTCGAGATGTCCGGAGCAGCCTCCAGAGAAGACTTGTCGTTCACCAGCTGGGAGTTGTCCATCTCGTAGAGATCTCCGGTCCCTGGGTCTGCGGGGTGGGGAAATCGGAGCAAGATGCCTTAGGCGCGTCCTACCGGGGGGGCGAGTGTTCACCCCATTGTGGTTAGGGTCGTGCCCGGGGAGCAGCTGGGGTGGGGTGGGTGTCTGCTTGGGAAGTTAAACCCACACTGAGCGCACTTCCCGTGATTCCAGCACACCAGGGGTTAACGGATTTCGCTGGCTCCAGCACACCAGGGGTTAATGGATTTCGCTGGCTCCAGCCACGCCCCCGGCTCCTTTGGGAACCGAAACCCAAGATGGCTGTGTAATAACCATCCCGGAAGCGAGTTGGGCTGGGTGACTGTGTATAAGGAAGCCTGGCCCTTTAAACAAGGAAGCCAGGCCCGGTAACCCCACCCCTATTGGGAGAGATTTCATGGCTCCGCCTACGAGTGGGCGGGATTCCACAGCCAGAGGGGTATAAGAGGCAGTGTGTGTCCCCACTCCTGCCCCCAGTGCTGACCTGACAGGGTTAGGGGAGGAAGTTTGCACTTAGAAACTACGTGAACCTGGAGCGCTGCCCCTGGGGGTCTCAGCCCCACAGCCGACACCAGACACCGTTGCTGGGGCCGACTGGCGGGCCAAAGGGCGGTGGGAAGAGTTTGCCAGCACCAGAAAGGGACATTTTTCAAGGACTGGGATGGGGCCCAGCAAATAGTCAGCAGCTTCAACGACGCCCTCGGCGCCAGACTTCCCAGCGGCCTGACCCCCCAGACCCGCAACACCAGCGGGGCAACAGGGCGCAGGCCGACAGAGCCTTTGATTGGTCGAGATCCAGCCCGTTTCACGAACCTGCCCCCTTACTTCCTCCACCCCTCACCCCAGATCGAAGAGGCTCTCTGAGTACCTCACGCCCCCCGAGCGAGCGGCACGCTCTGGTCCCGCAGCCGGCCGGCCTGGGAGCTTCCCCACGGACGGGGCACGGCGCGCCAGTGGGCCCAGTGTTGAGAAAAAAGGCAGCTCACGTTACCTGCAAACTCGCCCACCCGTGATGCCCACCCCGCCCTCTCCAGATCACCGCCCCCACCCGCCCGCCCTCTGCCGATTTCACACCCCAGGCCAACCTCCTGGGGAAGGGGGTCCACCCTCTCGGGCCGGCCGCCAGCCTCCCTACCTCTAGCCAGCGACTCGAAAGGCTCCAGGGGGTCTTCGCTCAGGAGAGGAGGGTCTGCCAGGGGACCGGCGATGGCAGAGGTGTCACCCAGGCAGCTCCCAGCGGTGTCCGGGGATAAGACGGAAGCTTCCTGGCTGAGCGGTTCCACACCTGTCCCGGACCTGTTGTAGCTGCACATTTGCAGGTCTAGACACGACCGGACCCCCCCCCCCGACCCCAAAGAGAATACGTTAACACAACCCTTCCGTCCCCCTCCCGACACAGGTGTCGGCACCCCCCCCACAGTCCCAGCACCCCCAGGAGGGACCCCGCTTCAGGAGCGGAGCGCCGGGCGGCCCCGGTGCTGGCATAGGGCTGCCGTCAGCAGCCCTGGGTCCCGGGCAGCCAAGCCAGGCAGATGCTGCCTGGGCAGCTCCTGGACTGGGGCAGGATGTCGGTTATGGGCAGCTCAGCAGGGCTCATGCCGCAGCCTCCCCCATGGCACAATTGCTGGTCCCCACCCCCCCAGACCGTGCTTTCCACAGCCCTGTTCGCAACACATCAAGTTTGCCGACTCGTCTCCTCCCTCCTTTGGGAGGGGGAGCCTCCCACCCGGTGCACCCCTCCTTACCCTCTCCCAGGTCATGGGCTTGATCCCCAACCCCTGCCCTTGGGGAATTCCCTGGGCATGTTGGGGGGGGAGGGAAGGTATGTGTCTGCAAGTGCAGAACGTGGGTAGGGAGCCAGGCAGCGCTGCTGGGCTCCCTCCACCACTGCTGAAAAAGCCCTTGGCACGCAGTGCAGGGGGCCCAATTCGGAGCAGTCTCAGGGCAGCTCTACACCACAGCAGGGATTTGTGGGGGAGGCAGGGGGGTTGATTTAACCATGACCCTCCCCTGCCCCCACTCACCCGGCTGCGTTTCCTCCAGTTCCTTGCTGCCCATGAGTGCGGCGCCGGTCTCCTCGCCGGCAGGCGGCATCTCCTTTGCCGCCAAGGACCCCTCCGGGCCGGTGCCCAGCATGGGGGAGGGCTGGGAGGCCGCGTAGAAACCACTGGCGCCGTTTGGCACAAGCTCGAAGCTCTGATCCTGGAAGGAGTCGTACAGCTCCTGCGAATCGAAGCTCAGCCCCATGGAGCCAGAGGTGCCGTTGGCCCAAAACTCCTGGGCCCCCCGGGGGTTAGTGTTGTGCCCCGGGGACGCCGGCCGGGCGCCCCCAAGGATGCCGTTGAGCGGGTACTGTCCGAGGCCGGAGAACTGGGAGACGCCGGGGGTCTCCTTGAGGCCGCCGGGCTGGTACGGCGGGTAGTTCCAGAGATAGTCGTATGGGTGGGGCAGGGCGGAGGCGTCGAGGGAGTGCCCGGCAGAAGCGAAGGTCCCTGAAGTACTAGTGTGAGATACAGTAGATAAGCCATTCCCGTTCACGTCGCCATTCAGGCCTGCCGAGGGAAAGGCAGAGCCATTGTTTAATTGGCTGTGCCGGGGACACGGACTGGGGGGGTTGGGGGGAGATCCCGGCCTTCCTCTCCGCGGGGAAGAGCCTAGGCGAGGGCGGGAAGCCAGCAGGCGTGCAGCAGGGATGAAGGATCTTCCCAGAGAGAGCTTAAAGCGTGTGGGGCACAGACCCCCCCGCCCCGGAAACTCTAGGCCTGGGACAGCAATTGGGAACAGGAAGCCACAGAAGGGCTGTCCACGGGGAACACCTCGCCCAACCCAGATGAGGTCCTGCCGTCCGGTTCCTCAGCCCCCTAGAGATCACAGTGTGGAGGGCGCTGAGGAGGCCGGCTGCAGACTGACCCCCCAGCCCCATGCAAGCAAGTCACCCAGCCCAAAGCGGGGCCTTGGGGAGGTAGGAGGGTTTGTCTGATTTCTCCCCAGCTGCCCAGGTGTCTCCCCCAGATCCTCCCCATGGGCTGCGGCAGGGTACTATGCCCCGTATGTTGGGACCCTCTCTGTCCCAGGAGCAGCAGGCCTCGGAGACCCGCTGTAGACAGGAACCACGCGGCCAGCCGCCCGTTGGCATCCGAGCCACCCAGAGCCATGGACGCGGGAAGTTTGGCAGCTCTGGCTCCAAACGCAGGGGGCTGCGAGCCGGGGTGGGGGTGGGGGGCTCTTGCCCCGGCAAACGTCCCCAGGAGAGGGAGAATGCGGAGGTCCGGGTGAAACCTGCCGAGCGGCCCCGGTGTCCGAGCCAGCGCTGGAGTCCCGCGGGGATTAGCTGGCCCTCGGTTGGGCTGCTGGCGAGATCAGCTGACCAGCCAAATCCATGCAAAGACCCGTTCTGGCAAGTCGTTTCTTTTCTAGGATGAAGCAATCCCAAACAGAGCCCCATCCCCCCAGCTAATCCACTCCAACCCAGCCAGAATCCCACCCCCCCACACCACCCGGGTTCCTCTCCTGCGCCCAGCCCAGTGTCTGCCCCATGGCACAGCTGCCTTCAAACCGGGATAACTGTTCCTCTCCAGTGGCTGCCTCCTTGGGAGGAGGATCCCCTGGCCCAGGGCAGACCGGGCGACCGGCCCCCTCCAAGCCCCACCTTGCTGCTCTCAGCTCCTGGGTCTCCTGAACCAGACGGTCCAGTCCTGCTCCCGCTGAAGCGAACCCAACGCCAACCCCCATGTTGGCTGGCCATGGACCAGGGACAGGAGTCTAGACACGGCTTCCTTCTTTCTGCTGCACGGGGGCTCCGTCCACTCCAGCAGGGGGTGCCCTCAGCACCCCCCCCCAAACTCCTTGGGACCCCCTGCTCTCTCAAGGGAAGCATCACCACCCAGAGGATGGCCTGGCCGGATCGGGTCCTGCCCTAGCCTGTGCACCCCCTCCTCCCTGGGGACTGGCTCAGCCCCTGCGTCCAGGATCCCAGCCCCCAGCGAACCCGCTGACCACATGCTGATAGGACGCTAGGCACCAGTCAAAATGATGCAGGGTTTGCACGGGAAGTGGGATCTAGTGGGCGAGAGCAGCAGGCCTGAAACCCAGGACTCCTGGGTTCTTTTCCCCCCCCATCAGACACTGACTCACTGTGCAGCCAGTGGAGATCCCCGACTTGGCAGGAGTGGGGGGTGGTCACTGCGGTTTGTTAAGCACCCCAGGGTGCTAGAGACCAGTAGAGGGTTATTTCTGAAGGGTGGACAGGCCAAAGGGTCCAAGCCCACTCAGAGGCCAGCCCCCCCTCCATGCACTCACCTTTCCCTTGCGGGGGGAAGTTGATAGGAGACCCGTTAGTGTAGGGGCTGTCCCCTGAGGAAGGTGCGGGCTTCAGTCCTGAGGCAGTGGGGACAGAGGGGAGGCCAGGGAAGTTAAAATGGTTGTTCGTTTCCATTTCTGAGGAGAGAAGAGACGAGACACCAAAGGGTTAAAAGTGCCCCGACCTGGAACCGCTGCCCGGGGGGGACAGGATCTCCCCCCCGCCTACTGGGTATAATGCACCCAGACACCAGGCAGGGATCAAGGCCAGGTGGGGGATATTGTACCCAAGCTCCTTGACTGGGGGGTGGAGGGGCGGTGGTGAGGGAGGGTTGGATGGAAAACAAGCTGAGCCGGAGAGCAGCACATGAAGAGCCCCACCCCCCCACCCCCGTCCCCCAGAAGGGGGCAGAACGGGTGCGAAAGCAACCGAATCTCAAATCGGTGGAAGGAAAGTGGACGCGGAAACCACGGTGCAAATTCCCGGCCTGCGTGACGCTGACAGATGGAGGCTCTGAGAAAAGGGGCCATGTCCCCACTTCCCATCACCAGGAACATTCAGGGCTACAAAACTCCCTGCAGCAGCCCCAAGCAGCCAGCAGCCCTCCGGCAAACAAACCAACGTTGGCGTAAGACGGCGTTTCACTGCTGTGTTGGGAGCTTCGCCAAGGGAAGGGGGCTACCGAGAGATCTCACGTGCTCCCGGCCCCGGATTCGTTTTTGCATTAAACTCAGCCGCTCCGCTTCTGCTCCCAGGGCTCAGGGTCCGGCAGAGGGCTGCGGAGAGTTTTCGGCTGTAGCTGGAGCAATCCCACGGGACTGCTTCTAGCATCTTCCCACCAGCAGGCCGGCACGTTTCGGTTACAGATCCTCGCCCCCCTCCCAGGCCGGGAGCTGTTTGCCCATTTCACAGGGCTCACGCGCCCCACTGGGAAAGAACAGCATTTCCTGTTGCCAAGATCCACGCGAAAGAGACGAGCCGGCCGAAATAAGCCAGGGAACGTCATCCCAGGGCATAGAGCCCAGCTGGCTCGGCGCTCGTCTTTCTGACGGGTCACTCCTGCCTGAGTGGCGCCTCCCAGACACACCTACCCATCTTTCGGTTGCTGTGTCGCGGACACAAAGGGCCAGTGCTAACCACACGTCTGGACGGCTGCCCCAGCACCTCCCCGTATAAAGGAACGGGGACAAGGAGTAAATGCATCACTCTGCCCACCCCCGGCCTGCCAGAGGGAGGGCAGCCCCACCCCGCGCCCCCAAGTCTGGGGCAGAGTAATAAAACTTGCTTTCTATTAGCCTTTTATTGACTAGACCACTTCTCTCCAAGTGGGCGGATTAGCCCCATTTCACAGACAGGGCAGAGAGAGATGGACATGCTTCCCCAAGGCCACACAGCAAGCCAGAGTCAAGAAGAGAACCCAGAAGTCCTAGTCCCCTGCCCATCTCTAATCACCGGCCTCCCATCATCTCCAACTCCCCATGGGCGTCTCCAGGGGATTCGTACACCCGACAACCCGCGGTGCAAACAAAAGACAGGGGGAAAAAAAACCTGAAATTCAGCCCGACCGATTCCTCCGGCACTGCAGCTCATTTCCTCTTTGATGGCTTTTGGAACAAGCCTTCCAGGGTATCTGCCGCTCGGCTCTGGTCTCTGCCTCCTCCCAGCTCCAGAAGAAAACCCTCCTGACCCAGGCACCAGCCTTAGCCACCAAGGAAAGCAAACGCCAACCCCCTCCCAGACGTCGGTAGCTTTCTAGCATGTGAATGACGGTATCCCCAAGAGACCCCAACTATAGATGGGGCGTGTGCCTAGGATTTGGCCGGGGACCCTTCAGGGCTCAGGGAAAGGAGACGCAGAGAGGGGAAGTGACTCGTCTGAGGTCATCCTGCAGCAGAGACAGTTGAGAACCCACGTCTCCCACCTCAGTTCCCCACGCAGGCCACGGTGGATTCCTCTCCGCCTCATTGAGTTACAAGGCGAAGGTTTAACACAGCAGGGCCGAGGGACGGCGTGAGCCCAGCGGCAGCCGTTCTCGAAGGGCCGCACCGAGGCCACGGCCTTGCAAGCAGCAGCAGGCCAGACGCGGAGTGTCGAAACAGAGACCGGCGATTTCGTCACTCTCTGCGGCATTCGCTGCAATGCTCCCAGGCCGGAGGAGCCCGATGGGCTGCTCCCCGTCAGCGCAGGATAACAACAGCGTCTGATTCACCAACTCGGGAAATTTCAGCGGCAGGCAACTCATCTCGCAGGCGGGGGACCCCCCTCGCTATTGCTTCGTGACGCCCCGTCCGTGCTGCTCACTGGGGCACAGGTCACATTCACTAGCGATCAGCCGAGAAAGTGACCTTCCCTCCCACCCCCCTTCAGAGGCACGTCTCCCTTTCACAGCCACACCAAGAGTCCCCCACCGCACAGAGCATCACCGCCTAGCTCTGATTGCTCCTACAAGCCACAACAAGAACAGGGCTCCAGCCCGTGCCTGTGCTGGGAAAGCCGGGCCAGACAGTTATTAAAAACCAAAAAAAACCAAAAACCACCACACACACCCACCCCTTTCCGGCAGCAGTTTTTTAGCTGGCAAACCTGTTTCTGGCCCTTTAAGGGCCAGAGGAGGAGCCGAGAAGCCGGAACCAGACAGGTGACTGCTGCAGGGTCAGCTCTGAGAGCATGGGGACAAGCCAGGCTGGTGCCAAGGTGAAGGGAGGTGCTGGGGACAGGAGGGCGAGGTAGCTAACCGCAGGGGAGGAACCCTGGCCTTAGGAAAGCAGCCAGGAGGAGGAGGAGGAGGGTGAGTGCAGCCTGGCTGAGAGGGAACCAAATAAAAGCAGGGAAGATGGGGAATTAATTACAGCGAGGGAGGAGGGAGATGAATAGGATGGGAGCAGTTCGACTAATAGGGTCAGGGTTTGAAAGCAGGAGCCGCGGCTGCGAGAGAACATTGGCTGTAGCCGTGAGCTGGCTGCTTTGTTAGCTCCTCCCCAGATGAGCAGCACTGGAGGCAAGCGGGCGTCATTCTCCCGATGGGGTATTGATCGCAGGCCAGTACCGGCACCGGCAGCTTCCAGACGCCTCTCCCTGACCTCCCCCGTCGGTAACGGATTGTCTGCGCGGGGGCTGAACGGACATCTCCTTGGGCCTAGCCCGGCCGACAGCCCAGCACGGACAGGACTGGGCAGCATCGGATTCCCTTGAAACAAACAGTACCTTCCCCACCACACCCCAAGACACCCGCAAATCCCATCCCAACAACCCCAGGCCTCGGCTCCCGCCCGGAAATGAGCCACTCACCCCAACCGGCCAGTAACCCTCCCCACACCTGGGCAGGAGACAGAATTAGGCCACGGCTTGTCATTGCAGCCGACCATTTCACAGGAGAGGTGGCGACAAGAACAAGGAGGATTCTGGACCCAGCCGGAGATCCTGAGCAAATGAGAAACATCACAGGCAGGAACGGGCGTGGGGGGTACTTAGGAGGCAGTTGTGATCAATTCAGTGGGCAGGGAACCGGGATGCTTAGAAACCCACGGAGCCGCTCACAGAACCTCGGAACCAGCCAGAAGCTTTCAAGAGACGGCAGCCGAGAATTTAGGCCCTGTATTATTCTAGGCGGCACCGGTTTGCTAAACCCAACGCCGATTGAAACGCAGGTGGGTGGTTTGTTGTGTTGATTTCATTTCGATTAAAAACAGGGGGGTTCTTTGCTTTCGATTTCAGCCTCTCCAACACAGGGGTTTAGCCAAGCCAACATGGCAACAGACTATTGAGACATTTGCAGCAGCGCCAACCACCTGCTTTGTGTTTCCCCAACCACTTCAGACCTATCTAGCCACAAAGGGTTAACCGAAGGTGTGATTTTAAACCAGTTTCTTTAAACCAGTTTCATTAAACCAGCGTAACCTACGCACACCTCCTTATATTGGTTCCCATCCGTTTATAACTCACATCGGTAACTGGATGGGCGCAAATGAACCAACGTAACCAGTTTGAAACCGATATATTACCCGCGTCCACACACAGGAGCTAAACCAGTTTACACAGATTTAAATTAAACTGGGACAACTTGTGTCTAGACAAGCCTGTAAAACTGGTCCCTGCTCAGGAACAATAGATGGCTTTAGGCCCAGCCAACCCAGGGCTTTTGTCCTGGCACAACCATGTCTGGTCAGGGGTGCATGATTTGTAGGGGGACTATCCAGTTACCCCAGTACAAGCCTTGGTATGAACCCCATTACCCCAGCATAGTCCACCCCCCTTCCTGTCCGTTTACATGGGATAAACGCATTGACGCTAGGGGAACTGTACGTTTCTCCTGGTCTAGTTAAAGCGGTACGTCTTGTGTGTTCAGACAAGGCCTTCTACCCGTCAGCAAGGTCCGCCAGAGGTGGATTCAGTGCAGACAGGGTCTGGGCCTCCCTCACCCACAAGGGAACCGAATGAAAGAGGGAAACCGACTACAAAACACAAGCGTGAGAAAGGCCTAGTCAGGGGAGTCAAGAGCGACGAATACACACGCCCAGCGTCAGCAGCCCCCGAGTTCGGTTTTAAGGTCCTCCCCCCTGTTTTGGCTTGTCCCCAAGGGCTTTTAACTCACTCGGGGAAGGGAGAGCTCTGAAATAGGGCTTTTACACTGCCTTGGACCCTGGAAGGTAATTTTTAACAGGCAGAGATGGACCCCGGCCGGCCAGAAAGGGGCTGCTGTGGCCCAGGTTCCCAAGCTCCGGGAAGTCCAGAAACTGAAACCAAATAGGGTTGGGGAGAAAAAAAAAAAAAAAAAAAAAAAGGACATTTCAAAAACAACAAGAGACGCAACAAACCCGGCTGCCATTTCCCGGCCACTTCCTGCAGGGGGGAGAGGAAAAGGGCTGCTGGCACCGGGGCTCCGTGTTTATGTGTGACACAGCCCTGGACCCCACAGGGGATTCCCCCCCAGCCCCTCCCCCCCCAAAATGCTGGGGGATCCCCCCCAGCCACACAGCGGGGACTCCCCTGGCTATCCTGTGATCTCAGCCACAGAACTCTCCCACCCCAACAGACATACCCATAGATTCCCCCTCCCCAACCACACATAGGAGACCCCCCCCCCAGCTATCCATTCCCCGCCCCCCTCCACCCCAGCCACTCCACCAGGGGATCCCGCAACAGCCACATCCCAAGCCAGGCACAGGGGGCTGCACCCCTCCCCCTTCCTACGCAGGGGGATCCCTAACTGGGAGCCAGGGCTCCTGGGCTCTACCCCGCACCCCAAAACCCACCTCGCACAGGGAACCCCCCCCCTCCAAAGAGGGAATCCCGCATAGCCTTGCCCCCCCCCCAGCCAAGCGACAGGGGGATCCCCCATAACCCTGCCCTCCTCAACCCCGCCAGAGGGGGATCCCCATAACCCTGCCCCCCCAAACCAGCCACCGGGGGGATCCCCCATAACCCTGCCCCCCCAAAGCAGCCACCGGGGAGATCCCCTCCCCAGGCTGCGGGGGGGGGGGCTCTCCCACTCCCCCGCCCGCCCTGCCCCCCCCCCGGACCTGGAGCGACGGGCGGTGCCGGGCCCGGCTCGGCGCCCCGGCGGCGGGTCCCGCTCACATGGCCCGGGCCGGGCTGCGGGCTCCGGGCCGGGCCGACTCAGCGTGGCCGGGTCCGGGGAGCCGCGCTGGGCAGGAAGCGGGGCCGGGCGGGCAGCCGGGTCCTAGCGCCGCCCTGTTCCCCCCCACCCCCGGGGATTGGCGGGGGGCCGGGTCCTAGCGCCGCCCTGTTCCCCCCCACCCCCGGGGATTGGCGGGGGGCCGGGCCCCAGCGCCGCCCTGTTCCCCCCCACCCCCGGGGATTGGCGGGGGGCCGGGCCCTAGCGCCGCCCTGTTCCCCCCCCACACCCCTGGGGATTGGCGGGGGGCCGGATCCTAGCGCCGCCCTGTTCCCCCCCCACACCCCCGGGGATTGGCGGGGGGGCAGGGTCCTAGCGCCGCCCTGTTCCCCCCCCACACCCCCTGGGGATTGGCGGGGGGCCGGGTCCTAGCGCCGCCCTGTTCCCACCCCACACCCCTGGGGATTGGCGGGGGGGCAGGGTCCTAGCGCCGCCCTGTTCCCCCCACCCCCCCCCGGGGATTGGCGGGGGGGCCGGGTCCTAGCGCCGCCCTGTTCCCCCCCCACACACCCCTGGGGATTGGCGGGGGCGCCGGGTCCTAGCGCCGCCCTGTTCCCCACCCCCCCAATTGGGGGGCCAGGCTGGGTCCTAGCACTGCCTTCCCCCCTCCCGCAGGGATTGGGGGGCAGTAGCTGCCCGGGGGCAGGCTGTGCCAGTGCTGAGCCCCTTAAGCTCAGTACAAGAGAATGGGGGTGCCCCCAAGGATATGGTGAGGGGGTGCCAGGGAGGACACTAGGGACACAGAGAGGGAGCGGATAGCGGGGTGGGAGAGGTCCTGATGAGGAGAGGGGCAGAGGGCACTGAGGACACAGGGAGAAGGGGGTTGGGGGGCACCATGGTAGGACTCCCCAGTGTGATGCCAGCCTGGGAGACTTTGGGGCAGCCCCCTCCCCCCAGGTTGCTGGGGTGTTATCTCCCCTTCCTTAGAAAAGCTCTAGTCCCCACCCACCCTCAGGTAGGGGCATCTTCTTAGCTTCAGCTCCCTCCTCTATTCAGACACACCCCCACTCAGCTCCAACTCACAGCTCCCCTCCTGCCCCCAAAGGGACCCCCTGTCCCCCTCCATAGAGCTCATGGCGCTTTACAGTGGGTCAGGGCCAGCATGCCCCACCTTGCAGAGGGGAGACCGAGGCACTCAAGGGAGTCAAGCAGGGAACAGAACCCAGGAGTCTTGGATCACAACCCCCCACCTTTGCTCTAATCACTAGGCTCCGCTCTCTGCCCAGAGCTGGGAGCGGAACCCAGGAGTCCTGGCTCCCCATATTGTGCTCTAACCACTAGGCAATGCCACCCATCCTCCTCCGCAGCACTACATTTCCTCACTCCACCCTCCCCAAATCCGAGCTCCCCAGACTCCCAGATGCGTGGCCCCCTGGGAGCCTCCCTGTTTGCCTTTCACCTCTCTCTCACTCGCGCACAGAGCTCAGGAAAGCACAGAAGATGCCCCTCGAAGCGTAGCGCAGAGCAGGGAGGGCGAAAGTTGGTTAGATGCTGAGCATTTACAGCCTCTCCCTGGTGCATCCTTCGTTCCCACTGCCCAGCTCCCAGGAGAGCGATCAATCCCAAACCCAGCCTGCTCATCTCCATAGCTAACCCCAGGCCAGACCCCGCACCCCCACGTCAGAGATGAGCCCCAGGGGCAGAGTCGGGAACCAGCCTTGGTGGGCGGTGGGTTTAGTTCACCCCACTGTGGATCAGAATCTGGATCCGAAGCCCCATCCTGCATCTAACGTGCCCCACAAAGTGGGGGCTCGGACTAGCTCCTTGCAAGACAGCATGGATGCTGGACCTCTGGGGAGAGGCCAGTGGCTGCATCTCCTGGCTTTGCTGAGCCGGGTCCAGACGCCAGCGACTTGAGCTTTCCATCTGCCGTAGCGTCAGCAGATTGGGGCTGCTGATGGCTCCCTCCCAGCTCCAGGGGGAAAGTGGAGGACCAGGAGGGGCACACGCATGGATCAGAACAGCCACCGGCCGCACCGATCCGGGAGGACGCAGGGAGCGGGCAGCCGGAGATGGAGAAATCTTACAGTGTAAGCGGGCACAAGCCCCCCCCTCAGCCGCTCCTCCCGGTGCCGAATGCTGACTCAGCCAGACAGCTAGGTATTATCATCAGCCCTCCCCTAGGCCTCTCACCCAAGGATCTCAAAGCACTCCACTGAGCCACCAGCTAATCCATCAGCACAGCCCCTCTGGGAGGCAGGCATCACTCCCATTTTACAAAGTGGGGAAACCGAGGCACAAGCCGGGAAATGACTCATCCACACCCCCCCCCCCACCAAGGCAGCACAGCAAGTCAGGGCGAAGAAAATAACCCAGGAGTCCTAGCACATCCACCCCACCCAGCCCCCCAGCCTTGCATCCCGAGCTCTGCTTCCTGTGGCAGACAGGAGGATGCAGGACGAGTCCAAGGCCCGTGAACCTTAAGACCCGCTGGGTGGTGGGGTGTCTACGTACTGGCCTAGACCAGCCTGGTACACACAGTGGGGAAGATGGAACGGTCACACAGTGAGGAGGAGACGGCTCCTGAATCCACAGGGACTGGACCTGAGAACATCAAACTCATCACACAGAGTTTGAACCCCCCGATGGCCGATTAGTTACTTCCCCTCCCCTGCGCCCCCACCCTCTCACCTGCCCTCTTCAGGAAGGGAGCCCGAATACAATCCAGGTGGGCACAAGCAGGCCAGGCCTCCGAGCCTCACGGGCATTTGCCGGCCCGGCCAGCGCATGCTGCAGCCCCCCCAGCTCTCACTAGGAACGCGTTTGCGCAGCCCCTGGGGGGGGGGGTCCCAGCCCCCGGCAGGGCTGCACCAGCGCCCTCTCCATCGCCATGCAGAGCCCAGCTCAACCAGACCCCCTCCCCTCCCCAGCCTGCCTCCCTGCGGGGGTGAGGGACGCACCAGGCAACCCCATTAGCGAGAGCCGTGCTCAGCTCCCGTTGGGGGCGGGGGGGGAGACGTTGCTCGCCTCCGATGCCAGAGGCGTAAGTAGGTTAAGGAGAGAAGCTGTGGTAATCCCAAGCAGGGGGGGCGTTCCAGCATGGGAGGGGGGTGGGTGGATGGAGCAGGCCTCCAGCATGGCTTGGTGGGCTGAGCAAATCTGGGGGGGGAGGGGTGCAGGGGATCTCCCCTCCGCATTCATGCGCGGGGGCCCTGCCAAGCACAGAGCTGGGCACATGGTCCTGCCCGGCGAGCTCCCCGAGCCGCCCCAGCAGGGCCACTCCCCCAAGCGCTCAGGGGATCCCTCACTGAGCCAGCCCCCCGCTCCCCCCGTCTGCTCCCAGGGCCACAGGCTGAAGGGGAAGGAGCGGGGGGGGGGGTTCCAACCTGCAGCGTTGAGGGAGGGGGTGCCAATCAGCTCCCCTTGACTCTAGGGCTGTGGGACGAGACGACTCCCACCTCTGCTCCCCTCCCACCGCGAAAGGCTTCCAGCCCCTCCCACCTGCATCACTGCTCTCCCTGGACCCCCACACCCCATCTCATCCCCACTCTTGTGGGAAGCCTCCAGCCCTCCAGGCTCTGAAGCCAAAGCAATTGAAGGGGGGGGGGGCTGCCTGCTGAGCATCCCTCGCCTCTCCTGCCTCCGTGCCACCCAAGGGTGCAGATCGCCCCCTCCATCGGGGAGTCCTGGCCACGTCTCCAAGCAGGCGTAGGAATCAGAAGTGGGTGGGGAGAGAAGGGACCCTGCATGCGCCTGGTCTGGCTCTCTGCCCCCCCCAAGAGGGGCTAGCTGGATCGCTCCCGCTAGCCGGCCCAGGGCCCCACTCCCACCCCACCCACTGCTGCCGAGTTGGTCTATTTCTAAACCCTTCTGCTTTTCTCCTGCTCAATTCCAGCCAGTTCTGAACCTTCCGCCCCATCCCAGTGCCCCCCCAACCCACCGTCCCAGTGGCCCCAACTGCAAGAACCCCTCCCCAAGCTCCCCTGCCCAATGTCCCCCTGACTCCCCCACAGTTGCCAAGCCCACCCAGAGACAAGCTCACAACCCTGGGAGGCAGCAGATGAAGGCCGGAGTGGGGGACCCCGTCACCACCCCAACTCCTCTGCCATGGGGAAGATGCCACAAGCCGGCTCCAACAGCCAAAGCACTGGAAGGGGGAAGGGGGGAATCATGTGCCGCCAGCCCCCCCAGCAGGGAGAAGGGACCAGGATTGGGGGAGGAGTGCAAGCCCCCCAGCTACTCTCACCTGGCCCCCTCAAATACACACAGGGCCTTGTCCCACCACCCTATAGCCAAGGGGGCTTTTAATGCTCTGCTGGAGACAGCTCAGCCCCAGGAGGGATTGGGGGAGCACCCAAGGGGGGGCAGGGAAGAACCATCAGATGATCTGACCACATGGGCTTCTTTCCTGCCCCCTAAGTTACCGGCTGCCCCCCACCCCCATTCCTGTAGCCCCCCGGGAGCATCTGGACAGGGCAAGGCACAGGCTGGTGTTCAGGGTGGGGGGCAGGATGCTAACAAGTCCAAGGGGCATGGGGGGCGGGGAGAGGCAGTGGGGGCTGCCTCCAGATTGGCCTGTGGCTGCCAACTCCTCCCCTCTCTCCCATGTCACACCCCCCCCCCCCCCATCAGAGACAAAACCAGGAGCCATTGTGGTCTGGGCACCGCTCCAGGCGGCTGCAAGGTGCAGGGGGAACAGATGGCTAAGCTTGGCGAACGCTTGTGCCAGGCAGTGGGGGCAGCCCCCCCCCCCGCCCAACCCCTGGAGAGCACCCTGCACTTCCCCTCCCACCAGTGATCAGCAGGCAGCCGGGAAGCCTTCGCCAGCTCGCTCCTTGGCTCTGCCCGTGAATCACCACCAGGACAAGCACGGGCGCGTCCCCCAGCCAGGAGGGGGGACGCCTGACTGTGTCCCGGCAGGCCCTGGGAGAGATGGGGGGGAGGGGAACAGGGCTCCCCCAGCACCGATCTGCCCAGACAACTCCTGGCACAACCGATCAGGGACACGGGACCCAGGGCAGCAGCAGCGTGAAACGTGACCAGGCCAGGCCGGGCGAGCCCTTCGCGGACCCCTCCAGCCTCGGCAC